GTTATTGTTAGTTTTCTCCTTATATATTTCATGTTTAATGAAATTCAATGAAAAAAAGAATTTCTTTGCTTTTTGTTATTTTTTTAAAGAAAATGGGGAGGGGGGCAGTTTTGAGGTTTATGGGTTGAAGTTTACATAACAATACAGACAGACATCCTAAAAATAAATAACAATATATGTTATAAATTTTTTCTCACCTTCTGTTTCCATGATCTAGTCTTTTGTTTTGGTCGTGTTTTCGAAATCTTTCGTGTGATCTGCAGAAATGAAAAGTATAAATACCTTAAAGTGAGGCAAATCTGATTTCAGATTATGGTAGTTCCTTTAATTTGATGATTAAAATTCATTGATCCAAAAAATGATCCAAAAATTGAACCTCGTCAGATGCCATCTTCTTAAAAGCAGACTCTGGGGTACATCCTGGAATGTTACAATCATCAACACTCTGAAATATATATGAAAAACAAGATGTGTTTGTGAAACACTATGCGCCCAGCAGCACAAAGTTCGAAAAAAATTATATAAGCATATAGGTCAAGGTCACAAGGTCACTGACCTTGGAATCATATGAAAGAACTTGATTCGTGGGGTATGCATACCAAATATGAAATCCCTATCTCTCATGGTTCAAAAGTTATGGTTGAGGTTCAAGAAAGCTATTTTTAGCATATAGGTCACAGTCAAGGTAACAAGGTCATTGACCCTGGTGTCATTTGAAAGAACTTAATGAGTGAAGTAAGCATTTTAAATATGAAGTCTCTATCTTTCATGGTTCAAAAGTTATGGCGGAAGATTAAAGTTTGAATTCAAAAAAAGTTATTTTTAGCATACAGGTCACAGTCAAGGTCACATGGTCATTGACATTAATATCATTGGAAAGAGCCTAAGTAGTGGATTAAGCATACTAAATATGGAGTCTCTATCTTTCACGGTTCAAGGGTTACGGCGAAGGTTAAAGTTTGCAGGAGAAAAAAACTACTTTTAGCATATGTCACAGTCAAGGTCACAAAGTCATTGACCTTGGTGTCGTTTGACAGAACCTCATTAGTGGAGTATGCATACCAAATATGAAGTCTCTATCTTTCATGGTTCAAAAGTTATGGCGAAGATTAAAGTTTGCAGACAAACAGACAGACAGACAGACAGGACAAAAACAATATACGACCGGGATCTATCGATCCGGGCGCATGAAAAATGTTACACAAATATGTCTTAAGCTTATACTACAGTTGGGAAGGTAATGTATTGAATCTGGTCTTAACAGAGGCCCATGGGCCTTGACACTCACCTATTAAAGTATCGGGATTTTCAGGATATGACCATAACCAGAAGTCCCTGTCGAGACTGAAGCTCTACTGGTTTGTACTTATAGCAAAGGAAGAGAAAAGTACTTAAGCAGTTGGAAATTGAAACTTTTCAACAGCAATAAATAGAATAATGATCCTTGATTAAGTCTCTTTATGTTCTTAGTGCAGTCTACTTGCATGCCACATTTATATTATAATCAGACTAAAATTGTATTTGGAGTAGCATTTTGAAAGAATTTCACAGAAATTTCTATTTTTAGTAACCACGGCAACACTGTTCATCGAAATCAAAAACCGATACACAGAATTATGTATCTTAGTGTAGTCTACTTGTGTGCCAAGTTATATTGAAATCAGACCAAAACTGTAGAAGGAGTAGCATTTTGAAAGAATTTCACAGAAATTTCTATTTTTAGTAACCACAGAACACCGTTCATCGAAATCAAAAACTGATACACAAAATTATGTATCTTATTGTAGTCTACTTGTGTGCCAAGTTATATTGAAATCAGACTAAAACTGTAGAAGGAGTAGCATTTTGAAAGAATTTCACAGAAATTTCTATTTTTAGTAACCACGGCAACACCGTTCATCGAAATCAAAAACCGATATACAGAATTGTGTATCTTAGTGTAGTCTACTTGTGTGCCAAGTTATATTGAAATTAGACTAAAACTGTAGAAGGAGTAGCATTTTGAAAGAATTTCACAGAAATTTCTATTTTTAGTAACCACGGCAACACCGTTCATCGAAATCAAAAACCGATACACAGAATTGTGTATCTTAGTGTAGTCTACTTGTGTGCCAATTTATATTGAAATCAGACTAAAACTGTAGGAGGAGTAGCATTTTGAAAGAATTTCACAGAAATTTCTATTTTTAGTAACCACGGCAACACCGTTCATCGAAATCAAAAACCGATACACAGAATTATGTATCTTAGTGTAGTCTACTTGTGTGCCAAGTTATATTGAAATCAGACTAAAACTGTTGGAGGAGTAGCATTTTGAAAGAATTTCACAGAAATTTCTATTTTTAGTAACCACGGCAACACCGTTCATTGAAATCAAAAACCGATACACAGAATTATGTATCTTAGTGTAGTCTACTTGTGTGCCAAGTTATATTGAAATCAGACCAAAACTGTAGGAGGAGTAGCATTTTGAAAAATTGTTTACAGACAGACAGACAGACGGACGACGGACGCATTACTATCGCATAAGCTCTTCTGGTCTCTGACCAGTAGAGCTAAAAACCATACCTGGAACTTGGGTCCCGTGTGACAAAATTTATATACTCTGTTGAGGATTAAAATGTATGTTAAGTTCAGGAGTAAAGAAAATAAGGTTAATTGTACAAAGACTTGTCATGTAAGATCTGCTTTTGAAAGATGCATTAATTTTTATGGTTAAATAATAATATGAAATATGTGATATCATCGCCCACGTTACGAGTGTATATAGATTTCAAATCAAATATCGATGTTGAAAATTATTATATACCGATATTACACTTTAAGACCATTCAAAAACCCAATCTATTAAATATGGGGAAAATTACTATAGCTACACTCATTTAAACAAATATCATCAAACAAAATCAAAAATATAAGGGGATACATGCATTAAGAAAAATGAAGAAGAAAAAACAATTATTTACATTTTTATAACGCCATGATATATTTTACAAACATTTCTCAAAACAAGGCATTAATTACCCTCTCTTTCGTTTCTTTCCCCATTTTACTGCAGACTGCAGACCGTAAAAGACAAGTTATCCTTGAAATAAACCACTTTCTTTCTTTTCAGCTGAACCTTTGGAAATGATCCGTAACTACAACTGACGTAATACCAAGAAAAGCAATTGTGACGTAACAATCGCTGATATAGCGTATCAGAAAAGGGGGGGGGGGGGGGTGATCAAAGATCCCTTTTCACGAAAGAATGAAATTACGACAGTTCAGCAATAGGCTAGGCTACAACTCTATATTAGCTTATTCCTAAACTATATCCATTTATCCCAACAATTTGACTGAGTAAAGAATTTTTTTTTTAAATGCCTTAATTTTGATAGCTAAATAATAATTTTATTTATAATATGTGATATCATAGACTACGTTTAGTTTCTATAGATTTCAAATGAAATATCGATGATAAAAATTGTTTATGTTTATTTGACAAATGCATTGCATCCATTTAAAAACCCTGACTATTTAATACGGGGGCGAGGGTTACCAAAGGTTGACTTATTTAAACAAATATAAATCAAAATCAAAATTGTAAGGGGCTATACTGTAAACTTTTTAAAGAATAATTTACAGTTTAATGACGCCAGAGTGTCATATTTTGTTCGATTTTATAATCAAGGCATAAACTTAATTTATTCTTTGCAAGTTTGAAGGAGACAAGTGACATACATCGACCGATAAAATAAAATCATTTAAGAAAACGGAGTTCATTTTAAAAAAAAAATTCTCAAAATAAGGCATTACCCTCTTTTTCGTTTCTTTCCTCATTTTACTGCACACTGTAAAAGACAAGTTATCCTTGATGTAAATTTATCGCTTTCTTTCTTTTCAGCTCATCCGTAATTACAACTAACGTAATACAAAGGATAGCAATTGTGACGTCACAATCACTGACATATAGCCAATCGGAACATCACTGAGTCTCTGCCTTTTCCGTCGAGAAAAAAAAACTCGACTTGACGGAAAAGGCCGAGTGATGTTCCGATTGACATGTAAAAGGAGTCTGAAATTTTTATTGTAAAAAAAAATCCGGAAAAAAATTTTCCCACCCTCAAATGAAAAAAAATGTTTTTTCAGTTGAGGGTGAGTAAAAAAAAAATTCCGATTTATTTATTTATTTATTTTTTTTTTTTTGGACAATAAGACTCCTGTACATGTAGCTATTCGACACACAGAGAGAGACAGAAGCTTATCTGAGAGAGAAAAAAATCTTTTCACAAAAGAATGAAATTACATCAGCTCAGCATTAGGCTAAGCTACAACCCTATGTCATTAATCGAAGGGAAAGTAGTCCCACAGAATTGACACTATTTTCTTTATTATTATCAAGTCTCAGGAGTTACGTGGCTTATGAAATCTTGAAGACAATAAGATTTTTTTAATATTGCAAACACAAGCTACTTTAAAATTGTTTCTTTTTTAAAACTATTTCAGCATTTTAAAATCAATTCATTACACTTTTTTATTTATTCATATTTCCAGGGAAGGGAATATTCTTATTTTTAATTCAGTTACATTATTTACCGTGAATAATTACCACACATGATTAGCGAAAAGGATACTAGTAACTTCTAACAGAGTACAGATTACCCTACAACACTATACTGCAATTGTTGGTAATAATCCCATGACTTTTAATAACAATACCTTTCTTTCAATCACATACATAACGTTTCTTGCAGCACAATGAATATACGAACTTCAGAAATAGTAATACATCTTCCATTTTGCCTTTGAATTTTCACTTGCAAAAGTATACCAACATAATAATTCTTGTCTTAAATTTGCATTGCATTTGCCACTAGGGGATAAGTAATGTAATATTCTCAGGATGCTTGCTGATATAAAATTACAAAATGGAAATGAAGAATTAAGAACTGTGTCCTTTCCAGTCTGAGTAAACAAGGTGTAAATTATATAAATATATCAATTTTATTGTTTTGATTTTCATAAAAACTTATTCAGTGATAATACAACCATATGATATGTTTCAATAAAGTACCATACTGAGTAAAATACACATGCACAACATTTCAGATGAGAGTGACAAAATTAATATTACAAGTACAATGTAACAAGAAAATACTTAGTTAACATATACACAATCCCATTTGCAGAGAACAAAATATTAAGTTATTAATGATATATTAATGATTTTAAGTCATAGCATTTCATCTCTTTGAAGTTCCTTGCTATGTGCAAAGAAAAAAAAAACAACGTAGGTTTGGCACAGAACTGTGTATGGTTTTGTCCTCTCACCAGATGACATTGCTTCAACACAGATCACCCAAGAAAATAAGATTTATAGAGACAGAAAACACACAACATATAAATACATGTACAGCCTGCAAATCTTCAGGGATTTATTATTACAAGTCTATAATATCAATTTTAATGGAAAATACCATACACAATTGCACAGAAATCTTTTCATCTAAATCTTTTTTAATTTTTTTATCAATTTTTTCAAATACATGTATATGAAAGACAGAAAATTAAAAATATATACTGTGAATGCTTTAATAATAATACATATTCTCACTGTAATTAAAACAGTATATTTATCAAGTTTATAATAATCTGAAAAATACACATTTTTGAAACAAAATTAATTCAAAAAATAAAAGTTTGATAAATTACTATCTCCAGTTTGTCAAAGAAAAATATTAAAATATTTTCTTTAAAAAAAAAAAATGAATTGTTAACATGAAAATACAGAGATATACATGCATAGATTATTTTCATGGTAAGTGCTTCACTATATCAATAAAACATTCCATTAAATATCCATTTTCAACTGTGCGTGTGTTTCATTGACAAAGAAAACAAACAAACAAACGCAATGAGCACCATTTTGGGATGAATATATGGCTCAACCCACACCAAGAGTTAGGAATTTTGCATGATTCTTAGAAATCACATTCACTCTGTTTAAGAGTCCGCTTCCACCAAGACAAAAGGAAACAAGGTCAAATTATGCTAAGGCAGAATCTTCTCTGGTGAAAATCTGAACACTTCCTGGTTTCATCCATGACAGACCTGGCTTAACTCCCCCTGGGTCACTTTGGCTGACCTGATGAATGGAAAAATTTTATAATTAATAACTGGCATTATTTTATCATAGTACACTCTTGTAAATTAACTGATACAGTATTCAGCAAAGTACATGCATTCCTCTTTCATTACTATGAGTATAAAGATTTCAACAACTAAAAAAGTATTGATAATATACATGATCACTGATAAAAGCTCTTTTGTTTTTAACAAACTCTTTTTCTTTTTCAAAGTAGAAAGCATTATAATCAATGTATATAACTTTTTCTTAATTTCAGTAATTTAAATCAAAATTTTTATCAAAAGAATTTTATACTGCAGCTCTCTGCTTCCAGGTCATTCGAGAAATGTTTTGCAAATCTACTGGTAGGGGAGGGGTCTTTAAATCCTAATTACCATAATAGCAACCAACGTTTCTAGCATTGCATGCAAATCTAAATCTCTTCCCATATGCATGCAAGTCACAAACCAATATTCCTTAAAAGTAGACACTCTGCTTTTTGACAGTGGATTTGATGGAGAAATTCTAATGCAGTCAATTTACAGTTAAGTTTTTCAAACAATTCATACAAATTATCAAGCAAAGATATTTATAAGCATAAAATATGGACAGAGAAAAACATAAATTGATAATCAAGAATGGGTGCAAATATATGTAAAAGTATGTTTTTGCTACAAAAAAATCTACAAAGTGCATATAAAAAAGTCAGTCTAAGATACAATTACATACTATACAGATTACATATAATATTATTGTAAACACATATAATATACATAGGTTAAAGCACAGAAAAATATCATTAGATTCTAATTGTAAGTAAGAAGTAAGTAAAAAGGTAGGTGTTAACAGACCACACACCAAGCCAAGATTACCTGTGCAATTTACCTGCATACTCATCATCTGCTTTCGAACTTCTTCATGAACACTTGGGTCAAGAGGAGTGAACCTACAAGATTACTTAGACATGAAATAGGTCGTATTTCTTTTGTCATTAAGAATACAATGTGTACCTTTAACACAAACATCAAAAATAAAAATATTTTTTTTATTTCAAGGATTAAAATTTTGATTCAATGTAACACATGAGGTGTTAACCAAGAATCTACTTGTATGCAATTTACATCTGATAACCAACAAGCAACTGAATGGACAAATTTTCAAGAGACTAAAGAAAATTAGCTTGTATCTTTTACCATTTACTGTTATCAGTGTGTGAGATCCAAATTGTCTTTTTAAACTTTTGCTGCTATACCTGAGTATATGTGGGTCATCTGATTTAACTGGTTCCTCTATTTTCTCTTTACTGGTATTCACCGTTTTCAAGACTTCTTTTCGAAAGGCATCTGGCTCATTGTCATACCTTAAAATTAACATGTACCCTTTACAGTTACAAGAATCACACAGCAGCTCTTTCACTCATTCTTATATTACTAATCCTGATACCCCAACCCCCACCCCCACCCCCTCCACACACACACAAATCCCTCCTCCCCTTTCTCCTAGCATCAATAGTGACAATACGAAAAGGGTGGCTAATTTTTATCATAATGATAATTTTTTATCATTGTAATAGGGGACTAGTTTACTTCCCAAATTATGTAGTGGTAACTGATTTATTTATTCAAAATGGTATCTTTCCAGTTTGAAAAAAATAGGAGCATTTTGACAAGAATATACATACATATTATAAATACACATAAATCATATTCTATCTTCACTATAACCACACAGATCATTTCTCACCCACACTGATACATACAGTGAGGCAGCTTCTTTGTTCCAGGGAAGTTTGGTATCTATTTTGTAGAAAATGCGACGTGCATAAAGCAGGACCTGCCATATATGGTTTGTACTTTTTCTGAAAGAAAAAATATAATAAATTATATATAATTTTTGGAACCCACAATTCTTTAAGGAACATTGAGATACATAATGAAATGTTCCAAAACCTCAAAATCTCCATATGTTCTCAAAAGTGTTGATTTTCATTCTAAAATAAAATTCATAATGTGGGTACTGAGCTCTCTGTAACAAATGAGTTACCTCCACTTGGGAAATGCTCGTTTGACATCCAACTCTCCAGTGGTTAGGTCCACTAAAGGATGAAAGACTGGGAATGAAAAGACTAGACTCTGAAAAGTTAGAAATGAAAACAATCACATATCACATAGGTATAGTTTTAATTTGTATAAAAAAAATATGCTAAGCTGAAAAAAAAATATTTAATATTTATATATTGTATACTTGTCTGTGAATTTATCATTTTTCCAACAGACTGTTTAAACAGATTTAATACCAATACACTTTATATAAATCAAGACTAAGCAGGCCAGAAGAATAGTAAAAGGGAAAACATTGCTCCCACGGTGTTGAAAAACTTACAGGACAATCTCCATCAGGGAAATTCTCAGGAATGGTCAGAATAAATCTAAAAACCCCTTCTTGATACATTCCCTGCCTGATGAACAACACCCCATGCCAAACTGAAAGTGAAAAGTATAATGAATACAGAATATTTATAGATATCATTTGTCATCCTAAATACAGGTATGTTTGTAAAGTTAACAATTTGTATATAGTGACCAAAAATTTTTCTCCATAATTACACTTATTAACAATATTTATCCTCCATTAATATACCGTACACCAGTACATCATTAATACTGAAGAATAATATTAAGTTGTAACGTTACAAATTAAAATGTGAATATTTACTCAGTGGTGTCAAGGCAGAGGGTATGGCATAGCAGCCAGGAACTTTGTGTGACATCAGCAAATTACTGTAAAAGACGTATAAATAACGTACACAAAATACTAGAAACTAGAATCAAATACCTAGCCATATATAATATGCATATTTGATTGGTAGATAAAAACAAATTCATAAGCATATTTAATTTTCAGTCCCAGGAAATTGTTTACTTTTTTAATAGATGGCATTTCAGAAGTACACTTACTATTCAGCCATAAGTTTGTACTCAGTAAACAGCTGTCCATGCCCATTAGATCCACCACTTTTTGGCATGGCATTCTGCCTCTGTTTAATTTCTGATGCCATGGCTAGCTGTGTGTCGGGACTGGGTATTGGTGGAAGCTGGCGACGCCCTTCTTTAGGAACAGAAACAGTGGAAGGATCCTTTATACTAAAGCTATCATCAGACTTAGAGTCAGTGGAAGAAGACGCCTGGAAAAAAAGGAATGAAATTATTTTAGCTAAGTGCATTTTCATTTAAGTATATCATTAAATAACACATCCTCAATGGACATTGCCAAGCATTTGTAAGCATTCACTTCCACTTTTGAAATATCTTAATCTTAAACAGACATAAGGCTTTCACATCGTATTGCAGTTCTAGTCAACATAATGCCATACCACTGTCAGTGGTTTGACTGGTCTAACGGTGAGGGATTTTTTGACGGAGGTCCGAGTCCACATGATGTTCATCATGATCTTATCCTCCCCTCCGTGGATCCTCCAGGTTAGGGACTTCCCCTCTTGGAGGGCACTGTTCACAGCCTCTATCAGGGCCACAGGTACATTAGCCATTGAGTTCCTCAGTATAAACTAATGCTTCATTTATCACAACAGTATTCCATAAAAAGTTTCCTTTGTAAATGTTTTCTCTAGCTCACGAAGTTTTTTGGTTTTCAGATAACTTCCAGCATATAAGTTAAACCATGGTTGAAAGGCAAATCATATGGTGTAATGACAACCTCTTCTCTTGCTGGTGATGTAATTGCACTGAACATTTCACAGGATTTTAGATATCTTGGGATTTCTGTGTTTAGTGAAAGAAATATCATCCTTTTGCATGTTTAATGATTGGAAAATCATTTTTTTTGTTTGACCAAACCTTTCTGGTAAATGATATACGCATTGCTTAAAAACTATGCAGATATTTGTTTAAGCATGTTTACCTTGGTAAATACTGCAATTGAGAAAACAAAAGTGAAGTTTATATTGTTTTACAGTGTATGAATTAAAGACCAGTCATGAATGCTTTTTCATGCTTCCTGCTCTTTTTGTCTTTCATTTTCAAAATCACTGAAGTAATGCCAACCACTATTGAACAAATGGAATAAAATCTGTTGACTAAGCTGTCAGTGCATTAAATCATGTCAATAATGTCAGAGCATGCACTTGGTCATTTCAACAACAAATACATGACACCACTCGACAATGGTACAAATTCATTTAATTAAGCCATTAATGCATGTTTCTCCCCATGTCTGTCATAGATTTAGAGTGCATTGATGAGACAACAGAGGGTCGACCATTCTATTTATAGTCAGATGTATATCAAACTCCATAGTAACTGGGCTATGACCCACACAGACAGGCAAAACAATATATACCTGTCACTGAAATGTTTGTACAGACAGATTCCACCAACACAAACTCTCAGGATATTTCCTATTAACAACCTTTGTAGAGATGAGGAGAGCAAACTTCAAAAGAAGAATCCTTCCGCAGTTTCCTATTGCATTTGATATGCTGACAGATGTGCCTGATAGGTGTCAGTGTGTTAAAAGATCTACATGGATCTGAAAATCAGTTTTAGCATCGTAAATCTATCTTGTAATGTTTGATACACCAGATAATTTTTAGTATACACTTAAAACATCAGAATACCAGTCTTCAACATTAATGAGCTAAAATGGGCCATAAAAACTTTATGGACAATCGGTGTACAAATGTAAAGATATAAACTGTTTATCAGTGTTTAATGTACTGTACATGACACACTTGAGATTTTCAAGTAGAAATATTCTGTCTTGTTCTAGATCTTTTTGCAGTTGACACATACTTATCTGTTATATCAATGTAGAAAAATAAATTAGTTTTACATCTGATTTAAAGGACTCTTGGATTAGGAATGGAATTTTTTAATTCAAAATCTGACCTTGCTCTAAGTTAGCTTTCAATTTTATATCGATTTTCGTCAGTTGAAAGTATCTGTTGACACTTACTTTTAAATTGCTTGCAAAAAGTTCTTGACATTTTTAAAATCAAACTTTTTAATAGCAAAGTGAAACATTCCATCCATTAAGTTAAAATATTTTTCACTGATTATGTGATGAAGAATAATTAAATAATTACAAATACAAACCTTAACATCCATCCTTTAATATTCAGATAGCTCCATTATTATAAATGTACACTGTATATTTAATTTTTAAATCCCAACATCAGAATTCAGTACAGTATTTTAAAGCTCCATAAATAAAAATTACTGTAGTTTTTGCATCTCAATTAATGCAAATATCTTAGACCACTTTGACACATTAATATCCAATGACTAGACTCCAACAGAACAGGTACATCTGATGCCATATAAACAGAAGGCCCCACACAGAGTGTTAGATAAAACGATAGGACATAGATCTAGGGGGATTCCTGTAAGATAACTATAGAGTATTGCTCTCAGTCAATATTTACGTAGTCCCTATATAATACGCCTTCCAGCAAATATTTCACAGAGAAACCTTTTATTTGCCAGTAGTTTGCAAAGGAAATAGAAATGATATGTTAAAATCTACACTATTTAAATTTGGTACCGGTAATATTGATTTATTGAATTAACAGAAATCCTGACATTTTTCTTTCTAACCATTGCACAATTAGAGAGTAAGTGTAATTACAGAATTTAATCCTTCTGAATAAATCTTTAGTTGACTATTGCTAAATTGTGTCCCTAGGAGAACCAAGACACTCATTTATGATTTATAAAATTTTAATTTTCAATTTTTCAAACATTTCATGGAATATATGTAATTTCAAGCATATTTTTGCGAAAACAATTGTATTTATACTATTTTATCTTATATTTTACACTGAATATGAAGTCTCTATTCTGTTTGTTAATACTGCTTTACTAAATCATACTTAAATTATATACTGAATATACAAGATCTTTCTTTAGTACTATAGTATGTATGTATATAACCTACAGTGGAGATTTCAACATTAATCTCCAGGTTAATCTACCAGACAATATTTCAAAGTGTTCATGTTTTTACCATGCTATGTAACCTGGAGACACACCTGTAATTTTTACCTGTCTTACCTGGTCAGGTGAGGTACTCTGTGACATAACAGCATACTAATGACCACGACATGTGGATTTTCTCCTCGGATCGGAAGCATTCAAGACATCTCTCTTAAACCTGTAAAGAGACAAAATTACATTGGTCTGCAGGCAAAATCCAATTTCATTTTATGCTGAATTGTGTAATCATGAATAGTTATTATACAAAAAATATAAATTATATCTCAGGATATTTTCTAGGATTTAGAAAGTTTATGCAGTCTTATTAAGATGTGATTGACAGATACATAGACTGGAATCTTTATATAGATTTGTAGACCCTGAAGACTGATTTTCATGATTTAATTAAGGTAGAAAGTAAGGAAATGAAAGTCTGTGCTATCTCTAAATCTTATGACTGTGTTTAAATAATTCATGACAAAGAAATAACTAAAGAAAGCAATATTAGAGTTTTGAGAACATTCAAAAAGAGGCCAAATTAACCCAGAGGATTTAATTGTGTCCTTGTGTCCTGCTAGCATTCATCACATTTAAAAAGAACAAAATTACAAGACAATTTTTTTAAAAGATAAAAAACAAATAGACATGAAACCAGAAGTTTCTGATAAAAATCTCTAGTTTGTATTGATTGGTTGAAATAAGAGCAAATATGATGTAGTTTGTTCATATGCACCTGAGGCAAATCAGGAAACAATGAAATTAAATTTCTGGTATTTCCTGCAACATCATGCTCCGAAAACATTCACATGTTAAAATTCAGATAGTTAAAATAATTTTTCTCTTTCTAAAAAAAATATAGTGGCAATTAATGTTCATAATAAAAATTTATGACTTGCACATCTTCTTAGTTGTTAACTGACTAAATTTTAGAGATCTTCACACATTGATGTTTTGCAAAAAAAACCCTAGTTTCCGGGTATGTCACATTCAAATTGAGTAAACTGTTCATTCGTCTTAATGAACCACTCTTACCTCCAGTAATTACACTGTGGTAGACCTTGTACACACACAGACAACCTTAAACAATCTCCCGACACTTCTGTACAGTGTAGTGACAACACAGTCTAGTGATCAATCACCACACTGCCCAGAGCTCTAACAAGGGACACAACTCTATCATTTCTCCATTTATCTTAATTAGGAATGTACACCATGTGCCAAAACATACCATAGATGCTATGGAAAATTATGCATACAGCTACTTTAGGTACTCAGAATTAACATTTTAAATGTCTACTGAACACACATGGGTGGTACACAATTGAAGAAGTGGAATATATTATATTCCATAAAAGAAAAACACAAGTTATGCCTATACCGAAATTAGGTATTAATTAAAGCAAACCAAAAAATAAATTATTCTTTTTTGCCTACCCCTTATTTCTTATGCAACTAAACAATGTGTGGAATGTTATGTACTCTTTAAAAATATTCTCATATTGATTAGGGCATCAGCAGCATGTTCCAAAATGTTTAATTTATTTATTTCATAACCATGTCAGATATACTTCTCTTGAAAGTTGCCTGCATGGTGCAGTGGTTACCAAGAGCTTCTGCTCTAGAGTTGCAAAGTAAGGAGTTGAACCTTATGTTGCGGGTTCAAATCCCATTGTGGGATGCAGAAACCAGTTCTTTGGATGAGACCATAAAAACCAAAATCCTGAATCTTAGTAGACGCTGACAGGAAAAAGATCCCTCACTGCATGCTCAAAATGTGCAGCTCTCCACCAGCAAGTGGTGGGGTCTCCAAATGAGTGAAAAATTCTTAAGAAAAGAAGGATGTTAAGCAACAAACATTTCATAAAAAGGTATATTCTTTATCACAGACATGTAGATGTACATTTTGTTCCAAAATGTTTCATACCGCAGTATAAAATTTTTAGATCAGATTTTCATGGTCAGGTTGACAAAAGTGTAATCATAATTTCTTAATTAATGCTGACTCCAATAAGATATTAATTTACAACACATCAAATAAAATTTCAAATCTGAAAATTACACATTCTTACCCAAAGCTATACTGCAAATTTACCTAGCCCTGTCCATTGATAAATCCATCCATAACATTAGATTACATATTTCTCTTTATCCCCTTCACACTTGGCTTATCAAGCATGACACAAAAATGTCTCTCCAATCTGGCAATACACACAGATAAGACCGCCAGCAGCTATATAAACTGACCTAACAATTCCTAATCACCCCTTCCCTGGTATTTAAATCAGTACATTACAGGATTAAAAGTCATATTGGACTAATCACTTTTAATATATCTAGTGCTGTAACCTGTTCAATTGCGTGTTAATAGAATAAGCCGTGTAACTGCATGGATAAGAAATCTATATAATCTGGAATTCCAAACTTGCACTGCTGGGTCAAACTAGTGATCCATTTTACACAACCTTTTAAGTTTAACAGAGAAAAAAGTCTCCTTTAAAATCGAAATCAACAGTTCATAATTCCATTCAACCTGCTCCTAAATGTAATTAAGCCAAATTTGATCACACCAAGAAATTTTCCACAAAGGAAAAGAATTTTAATTTGCTAATCCAATTTTTATCCAATCAGCACTATATACAACCACAGTTATTGCATGCATTTATCATGTGCTTCTGACTTTGACAATGAGAATCATAAAATTTGACAACTTTAAGCAATTATTGCAAATTTTCAGATGTCAAACTTGCAAAAATAAATACTTGGAGATCATAAATAACTCCTGAAGCAACAATCCTCAAACAGGAACGTCAGGACTAATGGTAGTTAGAATGAAAATCACCATTGTGGGCTTATCTTTGAACCTGAAACATACTTTGTAGGGATGCGGACATTAATTTTTTTCTTTTGATGACTGAATTTCTGTGTAATATCTGATTAAAAAGAGATCCTAGTCTTCTTCAAATTGGAGTAGCAAGATATTTGCCCAAATAACACTTGTACAGAGAATCAATTAAGATCAATCTTCCCTTGACAAACTAGAACACCTTTGTCTGACACTTATCATTCTGAATGTACATGTATACTTTACTTCACAATGGTATATTATTATAAATAAGTTGTGTGAAAATAAATAATCCAGCAGAGCAAAAGCAGTCATCTTTTCCCATTACCCTTGTTGGATGAAAATTTTTAGTTGAGTTCAAAATTAAACATAAACTAACTCCAAACAATAAAATTAAAGCTTTGCTTAAATGGGGGCCCCTTAAATGGCACAGGTTTGCACAAGATTGTAAAGTGAGGAAGAGACCTAATCAATATGACATTATGTATATCTAGGTAATTTTTAATCCTTTGTTAATTTTTAATGAATGATAGGTAGATAAGACTAAATATTTTCAGATCATGTTAGATTTTTAGGTGTTTGCAATGCTTGTATGCTGAGACAACAAAAAAATACATCAATCATGAAATAGAAATATGAGGATTTTTCTCGTGACATGAATGGAAATGCATTTTAAAAACCTTTTCAAATTCATTGCCTGTACAAACTCAAATGAAATCAAATGCAGACTCAGCCAAAAAAATAAACTAATCAGAATAATTTGTAACTTGGAGACAAACAGTTTAGGACTACAAGGCATATACAGAAGTGACCCCTCATAGACCAACACCACACTGTCCCTAAGAGATGACAAATGTAAAATTATACAGAGTACACAAAACATACAGTAAAACTTGGCTATAGCAAAAACCTGGGGACCTGTGGATTTAATTCCCTATATTAGGGCTGGGTATTGGCCCGAGATTTTGTATTGCGATATATTGCGATATTTTTAACTGTATTGCGATATGTATTGCAATATGTTCAATGTAATTTAAATGGCATTTTCTTACTAAATTTACTGTAATTTACATGCAGAATGTACATAACTATGATAAGTAGCAAATACGGAAAAAAAATCTTGTTGATTTCATCTAAGTTATGCTCTGAAATGTTCCCACAAAACAACTTCTGTCTTCCTGTTTGGCTAAATAACAAACTTTCATAAGTCCATTTCTATATTTAATAACAACATTCCTTAATCTAAGCATATTGCCAATATATCGATATTACAAAATCGTATTGCGATACGATATTTTTTGTCATTGTATCGCAATATATTGAAATATCGATATTATTACCCAGCCCTACTCTATATCTGTAATTGGTTATATCCATATCACTAATTTTTATAACTATATATAGCAAATTCGCAATATGTATGTTTTCCTTCAAGTATTACTACCAAATTTGTTAGAAAGGAATTATTATTACAAAACATACTTTGGATACCTGGGATAACTTAAGTTTTAATATGAATTGAATTTTGTATACAGATACTTAATGAAAATAAAGTCAGTTCAATTTATGAAATTTTGAGATCTTTGAAAATTCGTTATAAAAGAAGTAAAGAACAAGGTATGATTTCCATAAAAAATTTGCCCTGTGATTTTCTAAAAAAAATGAAACTCGTGTAAAAGACGAAAACTCATGTTTCTGAATAACTGAAATTCAATGCAGAAAAATCATACAAATCATTTTTCTCAAATGTGCTTTTAAATGTTAATTGTGACGTCATAAACATGTGCATTTTCCCGTATTTTCTCAAAGAGTTCCAGACGACAGCAATTTTCAAAGGAATTTTCTTTCAGATAATATTGTCCACAGGCATCTCTCACAAAGATTTTGAGATATATGTGATTTTTTATCGACTTTTGCACAACATATCAAAAAATTAATGTGGGCAATGGCTGTGGACACTATTTTCTAAAGGAAAATTACCCTTGAAAAGGGACATTTTGAGGCTTTTTCTGTTTAAAATAGAGAAATACATTACATAAATGACGTCATATTTGCAGAATGGTAAACCTTCATGCCATATTCTTTCCTGATTTATCACAGTCATATACTTTACTAATATTTAAGGATGTACAACACACCTACCCCAAAAAATTCCTGTCGTTTAATTTTCGTTATTTTTGTATATTTAGTACATAACTATATCTACTGCATGTATGCACATTTTGGACAAAATCGTTCGAGTGGTTTTTGAACAGGAAATTCCAAAAGTTACCCCCCTTTACTTGTTTACAAGGAGAGAAAATTTTTAATCAATGAACTACTTAAACCTTGATTTTCAAAAAAGCCAGGTTAGATATAAATGTCAGATTTCATTGGCTTATTCCTTTAACCATTTAACACAAAAACATAGTTATCTTTTTGATATACATATCATCAAAATAATTTTTAAAGACCTTAAACTGAAAAACTATGGATTATCTAAGCCTTGAAAATTGCGTATTTTTCAAATTCAAAATTTTTTTGTGAAAAAAGCTGTCGTTTAATTTTGGTAAAAAACTTTCTTTAGGTAACTGGTGGTAAAAATAATCTGCATAATTTTTTGTATAATTTTTGTACGACCAGTTTTGATTTGATAGCGGAAAATTACCCCCTCCCCCTTTCTCAATAAATCACGTTCCAGCGCGTCTTTCAGACGGGGGTCGATCACTTTGTTATATGAATCTACAAATACACATTAAAAAAATTAAATTGGAATATTCCTTTTGCTTCAAAAATATATGAACTTACAAATTTAAAAGTTCTCATATGTTAAGCGTATTTAAATGTAGATTTTTAGGCAATTTTTGAATAACCCTATCACCCCCACCCCTTCCTTTTTTGCGTCACAGACCATATTAGTGTTTGACGAAATGTCGTTTACAGTGCAAATATACTGGTATTTCGTCATTTGAATCCCGGAGGTATGCATTAGTTTTTAAATTCATGAATGCAGAATAAATATTGACTACTCTTTTTATATGTATCAGGAAAAAATTACTGAAGGATTTTAGTGTTTAGTCCATATAAGTATGCTTTATGCATTCCATATCACATGAAACCTGGATACGAATTCAAATTTTGTTGAACTTGAATTTGTTGATTTTTAATTTTATTTCTTTAATTTTATTCATTAAAAAATGGTGTATGTTCAACTCTCCTGTGATATAAATGGAATAATTGTAGTTTCTTTCATGTCATTATTTCAAACGAGAGTATGTGGACGTGGGGATACATCGACATTTGCATAGATGTACACCCCTCATGATATTGTACGCATTTCTTTCAATGTCGTCGCTTCTAAAGTTAAAATGAAAATTCCGTATTCGTCCACATTAACTTCAAAATATCAAACATTAAACTCTTCATCTATTTCAATTGATATCAAATCGCACTTTGATATTTTTTAAAATCTTATAGGCTATGTTTTGTTTTGATTCGAGGAAATGCGAACCGACATTGTTGACAGAAAGTCAAACTATTTGCTGCAATAGGATATTCATAAATGCAGATAATTTCAGTACAAGTGAACAATTCTTTTCAATTCTATACTTACATTGTGTATATGAGGTCTATAGTATTCAGTTCTCGGATTTATCAGGTCTTGCTGTAAATGTATCTGATTCTGTGGAAAACCGTGAATAAAGGGAGGAAAATAAACATCTCCTACATTTTCAGAGTTGTTCCTCTTTGATCAGTAAGGGTCTGAGAACAACATCGACTTTACATTGTAAAAAGGTTTTTTGTTTATTTATTGTTGTTTTATTTAATTAAAGAAGAAAAACAATATTTAAATCGTAAATGCACAAATTGTAATGAAGACCATTAATCGGAATGTTATATAGCCAATTGTACATAATGAGAATTTCGGCAATGTTAAATAAAATTTTCAGAATAAAAAAAAATGCTGCGCTTTGATCAAAAATAAAATTTATTGTATATGAAATGAAATGAAATAAACATTAACGGATGGTATTTTATGTCTGGCTTTTTACGGAGTTTAATCGGGTTGATTAAACAAGAGGCCCACGGGCCTTATAGGTCACCTGAGCATTATGCAACAACTTTCCAGTTACAGTGTATTGAATTCAATTCATGTTTTAAGCCAGATGCTATATGGCATTCACAATTTTGAAAGGGCACCATTGATCATCATAACAATAAACTTAGCAGTTGCTTAGCTTGGTTACTGAATACCCATAAGCAGGGTAGGGGAACAAAAATGCACTCCAACTAATCAGTAATATTAATCAATAATCAGTAGTGCCCCTAACACTCTCACATACACCCCTGACCCTAGGTTGCACAAATTTTTAAAAGGCACCCTTAAAATTGCCTATCAAAAAGTAAATAAATGTTTTATAAATACAAAGGACCAGATTTCAAACAATTAATTCATTTTCAGTATATAAGTAGAGCCCCCCCCCACCCCTGACCCTGGGGCCTTGAAATTCACAATTCTGCAAGATTAGGGCCCTTGTTCATCATTACTATATAGGTAGTTCATCTGCTTCATACCCAGAGACAGAGAAGAAATTTTTCAAAGATTAAATGTACAATGTATTTTCACAATATAATCAATAGAGCCCCACCCTAACACCAGAACCCCAGACCCTGGGGCAATGAAATTCATAATTTTAGAAGAGGCATTCTTGCTCATCATAACTATGCACTTACTTAGTTTATTTAATACCTAGGAGCAGAGAAGAAGATTTTGAAAGAATTCATGTATTTTCACTATATAATCAATAAAGCCCCCCCCCCCCCCCCACCAGAACCATTGACGCTGGGGCCATAAAATTCACAATTTTTGTAGAGGCACTCTTGCTCATCATAACTATGCACTTACTTAGTTTATTTAATACCTTGGAGCAGAGAAGAAGATTTTCAAAGAATTCATGTATTTTCACCATATGATCAATAGAGCCCCCCCCCCCAACACCATAACCCTTGCACCTGGGGCCATAAAATTAACAATTTTGGTTGAGGCACTCTTGCTCATCATCACTATGCACTTAGTTAGTTTATTTAATACCTAGGAGCAGAGAAGAAGATTTTCAAGGAATTCACATATTTTCACTATATAATCAATAGAGCCCCCCCCCCCACACACACACCAGAACCCTTGACCCTGGGGCCATAAAATTCACAATTTTTGTAGAGGCACTCTTGCTTATCATAATTATTTACTTACTTGGTTTATTTAATACCCAGGGGCAGAGGAGAAGATTTTCAAAGAAATCATGTATTTTTACTATATAATCAATAGAGCCCCACCCTAACACCAGAACCCCTGACCCTGGGGCCATAAAATTCACAATTTTGGTAGAGGCACTCTTGTTCATCATAACTAGGTACTTAGTTGGTTTATTTAATACCCAGGAGCAGAGAAGAAGATTTTCAAAGAAATAATGCATTTTCACTATATCCTTATTTAGCCCCGCCCTAGCACTAGAACCCCTGACCCCAGGGCCATGAATTTCACAATTTTGGCAGAGGACTCAATGCTGATTACAATCATGCAAATAGTTTGACTGCTTGATGTCCAGGAGTAAAGAAGAAGATTTTTAAAGATTGCATTAATTTTAGTGGTTTTGGCCCCACCCCTCAGACCCCAGGGGGGCAGGGATCATGAAATTCACAATTTTTGTTCCCCTTCACCCATAGATGCTTTGTGCCAAATTTGGTTGAAATTGGTTCAGTGGTTGCAGAGAAGAAGCTGAAAATGTTCAAATGTTAACACACGACACACGACACACAACACACGACACACGACACACGACGGACGACGACGGACGAAAACGGATAGCAATAGGTCACCTGAGTTTACTCAGGTGACCTAAAAATACTTATTGATTGAGTATGGTTCGCACAATCACAGCCAAGGCCATGTCCCAGTTTTCTTTCATGATTGATTTACATCGGGATTGTTTTACTCGTCGTTTTGACGCTTTATTTTTGACGTTAAATTTGACGTCACGTCAAACGTTCAATTGAAATCGCAAGAGTTATCTCCCCCAGTGTGTTGTACGTCTTTAAGCTAGTTTTAAAACTTTTTGATGACATTACATTTTTAGGGCACAATAAAGCTAAAACCGTACCTTCTTCTTTCATTATATTTTACCTCCACAGGAATAAAAATCAATTCGCTATATTCGTAAATTCGTTATCACTGTAAGATTTTACAAAGATTTGTTAAGAATTTTGCGGGGGACCTAGTTAGAATAATCTAACTGTGTCTCGGTACAAGCCCTCACCACAGTTAGAATACGTCCCATATACTTGCAATGTAGCAAATCAGAGCGGATCCGCTCCGAAACGATTTTGAAGAATATAAAAGGATTTGCACTGGAAATAACTACCAAATTAATCAAAACAAACCTTTTTGAGATTGCTTATGCCTTTTATCCCCAAAAATAATCCATATAAATACGAAAATCCAATTAATTTTCTCAACGTTTTTCTCTCGCTTCAAATTTACCTGCCATGTTTACATTCGGAACCCTCTAGATTGTTTGTAGTCAAGCACTGAGTACGAGTTATCGCCCGTGTTTCTTTTGCTACATTACGAATACACGGAACGAATTCTATCGTTAAACCGGGTCTGTAGGACAATATCATTTTAACGATAGAACGTTCTATCTATGGGGGACCCTGCAAAAACTTCGCTATATCAATGAATTTCCTATATATGTGTTAGTTTTACTGTATAGTGTAATTATAGATGAACCTGCCATTAAAACCTGAACTTAAAACAGGCCGAAACGGCTAGAAATCAAATCATATGAATATGGTAGGCCCTACTATCCATGTTTTCTCACAGGTATGGGGGTCATGGTTTGCGAATATGTGTCAACCAATTGATATTTTAAAAATATGTTCATACATATTTGTTAATATTCACCCAAATAGCTGTGGATTTTCAAGGCATAACATTTATAGTGCCTTTATTTGTTAATCTCGATTTTTTTCCCTAACGTTTCTGATCTTATCTCATTAATTTCTTCTCGGTTCTGTACAAAGACAAACATGTAATTACAGCAAAACATATTGTGTATTTATTCAATTCCCCTGCTTAAAGGTACATATACTATAAGAACACATGAATATTCAACGGTCTCTGCAAGAATCACGAAAAACGATTCAGATTCAGCAACTCAACAGTTAGTTAGAATAATCTAACTGTGTCTCGGTACAAGCCCTCACCACAGTTAGAATACCACCCATATACTCGTAATGTAGCAAAAAATTGCAGAATCGCACCGAAACGATTTTGAAGGATACAAACGGATTTGCACTGAAAATAACTTGCAAATTAATCATAACAAACCTTTTTGAGATTGCTTATGCCTTTTATCCCAAAAAAATAATCCATATAAATACGAAAATCCAATTCATTTTCTCAACGTTTTTCTCTCGATTCAAATTACCTCCATGTTTACATTCGGAACTCTCTAGGTTGTTCATAGTAAATGCACTATGCGAGTTATCGCCCGTGTTTCTTTCTGCTACATTACGAATACACGGAACGAATTCTATCGTTAAACCGGGTCCGTAGGACAATATCATTTTAACGATAGAACATTCTATCTACTCAACAGTCAACTTACCTTCCATTTTGCTTTTTTACTGCTTTCGTCCGACTTCCGGAAAATATTTTTCCGAAATGTTCGCGCCCAAAGTGGAAATCCAAATCTGCTGTGACTACCGCTTCCGTTTGTGAACGTTAGGAGTCCGTTTACACGTCATTTCATTGTTTTTAAAAAATGATATCGTAGATAGGCCTGCAGGTCTAGCAATTTAGATGAAAAGAGGAGGGGACAAGGTCCCCAAACACAGACTCAACATACACATACAGACACCAGTCTAGTCGAACCCTTTGTCGGACACAGGGAGAGAATTTTTTTTCTTTATCTCAGATAATCAATATAAAAATACATATACGTAGCATATGTTCCATCATTTATTCATAAATGATTTGTGCTTGTGAAAGAGTACGTAGATCAGTGGAATTAATGAAATTCAAGACTCTCTTTCATCACCAATAAGGCTAGATAAAAAAAATAAAAATTTTTTACCCAGTCAATTTACTTTCATTCAACAAATTTTGAGCAAAACTAGATCTGTCCAAACTGGACAAAATACCCCCGCTTGGTTTTTCAGAAGTAAGTTTTTCCTTAATAAAGATATGTATCAAACATGAATTATGAAATTTTTCTTCCAGTGACCTTGAAGTTTCCCAAATGACCTGGGGTCAAAGTCATGACACACCCTTGGGCCATGGGCAATCTTTGTGTGAAATGAGAACCTACCAAGTTTATCCATAAGAAAGATATGGACCAGACACAAATTATGAATTTTACTTCCAGTGACCTTGAACTCCCCAAATGACCTTGGGTCAAGGTCATGACACACCCTTGGGTCATGGGCAATCTCTGTGTGAAATGAGAACCTACCAAGTTTATCCATAAGAAAGATATGGACCGGACACAAATTAAGACTTTTACTTCCAGTGACATTGAACTTCCCCAAATGACCTTGGGTCAAGGTCATGACACACCCTTAGGTCATGGGCAATCTTTGTGTGAAAAGAGAACCTACCAAGTTTATCCATAAGAAAGATATGGACCAGACACGAATTATGAAATTTTTCTTCCAGTGACCTTTAACTTCCACAAATGACCTTGGGTCAAGGTCATGACACACCCTTGGGTCATGGGCAATCTTTGTGTGAAATGAAAACTTACCAAGTTTATCCATAAGAAAGATATGGATTGGACATGAATTATGAATTTTTACTTCCAGTGACCTTGAACTTCCCCAAATGACCTTGGGTCAAGGTCATGACACACCCCTAGGTCATGGGCAATCTTTGTGTGAAATGAGAACCTACCAAGTTTATCCATAAGAAAGATATGGACCAGACACGAATTATGAAATTTTTCTTCCAGTGACCTTGAACTTCCACAAATGACCTTGGGTCAAGGTCAAGACACGCCCTTGGGTCATGGGCAATCTTTAAGTGAAATGAGAACCTACCAAGTTTATCCATAAAAAAGATATAGATTGGACACGAATTATGAAATTTTTCTTCCAGTGACCTTGAAGTTCCCAAAATGACCTTGGGTCAAGGTCATGACACACCCTTCGGTCATGGGCAATCTTTGTGTGGAGTAGTAGATTCTAATGTCCCTCTGTAAGAAAGATATGGACCGGACACGATTGCACAGACAGACGGACAGACAGCTAGAAAGACGGACGGACAGATGGACAGACAGACGGACAAGGTGATTCCTATATACCCCCCCAAACTTCGTTTGGGGGGGTATAAAAACTACAACAACAAAAAAATCAAATTTATCAGCGTTTATTAGAAGTTTCCACAAAAGACAATGTGCTTAAAATGTGTGGCAGACTCGTGAGGCCAAGTGATATCTGTATGACTAGGCAAATATTATCTGCATATTTAATACACATGGGAATTCACTAGTCTAAGATATCATAAATGTGAGAAAGCTTTGCAATCCTCAAAAGTGGCAACAAAAAAAATACATAATAAAATGATACACAATCCTTGTACATTCCCTACAATTATTTTTTAGCAAATGACATACACAATCTTTTTTATTATTTTTTATCACACAATAAATTATGCATTTAATATAAAAAATACATTATGCAAATTCTGTTTACGACAAAAAGCCATTTTTTGCCATTTTTTTTTTATTTTCTATAAACTAGAATACAAATAATAACAATGACTGAACATGGTTCAAGAGCATCAAAATTACTTCAATAAGTGTAATGTCTTCATTGTCATGTTTTTTTTAATCCACTTAATATAAATCTGACTATATTTAGGCCACATACATATATTTTATTATGTTGGCAAGGATTGTACATTTAAGAATAAAAAGGTAAGGCCAGCTTTAAAATAATGTTTGCTTGCCCTCTTCTGACTCAGGATAATAAAATAAGGTCAGTAGAAAGGTGAGAAAACCATTTTTCTCAGAAAATTTCAATTCTAATGCTAAATTTTTAAAATATATTTTCCAGAGTACATAAAAAAAATTGTTTCAAGGAGGTTAAAACGTTTCAAGTCGGACCATTTTTAGCCAGTCGGTCAGGAGAGGGTTACCAAACAATTTTTTAAGATGACTGTCATTGTAACTACAATGTATATTTGTTACTTTAAAAATGTACCGGTAAGTATGTATACTTGTAGAATTAAACAATATAATTTAGTATTAAACAGCACTAATATTTGAATAAAAAATGGTGAAATTTACATAAAGAAAAAAAATCAAGACTGATATTATGAGGATAACTTTTGTATAATTAAAAAAAAAAAAAATCTGGTAAAGAGATTCACATTATCCCCAATATTTATACCATATATCAGATAATTCACACATTTCACACTGATAACATTTCCATAACATTTAATACAAAATAAAGCATCAATGTTAAAGACTTATTTCTATAAAATATTTTACAGTACTCTGCATGACACATGCACAAATATATAGAAAATTACAAATGCATTCTTTAACAGCTGTGACAATCATAGCAGACCTTAGAATTTTACTGACTGATATCTTATGAACATCACACAGGGCAATCTTTTATTTGTAACTCTTATTTATACTTCTGCATAAAACCAGTATGGAATTTCTTGAAACGTTCCATCATTTCTTTAAGTTTGTCAACAGGAGGAAGTATGGTTGTCCTGAAATATATCAGAAGTAAAATATTCAAGTAATGGTGACACCAGGGTGGAAATAAAGAACAAAACTTCAATTCTAGGAACTACATGTAAATAAGTAAGTAAAGTTATGAGTACAGTAATGATGCAAAAAGATTCAGAACTTATTATTTTAAGAATTCTATCCAGCATAGCATCTTCATTTTTCAAATTCTGAAAATTACCTGAAGTGAAAGGTTCCTGGTTTTTGTCCAAATCCTGATCCAGGTACAACACAGATTCCTGTGCTTTCCAACAAGTCAAAACAGTACAAGGCATCAGGGGATATTCCTCTTTTCTACAAAAAAAAAAAAATATATTGTCAGAAAAAAACAGAATTATGTGAAATTACAGGTGTAAATCTATTCCACAACTCTGTCCCTACTTTTTAAACAATTCATTAATCTCAGAATCTTTGAAAGGTGTTTATCTTTTATATTATTGTAATTACAACAAAACCAAGGAGGAAATCAGGATCAATGTACATTTCAGATCCCTTTGCCATCATTGTTGTCATTACCTCACCCTAAATCAATAATTTTAAGTTCTCTGACCTTGACCTCACCTCTGGCCAGGGGACCATCAAACTAAGATGATCTCACTTTAGATTTCAGTCTAACTTTTACCAAAGGAATGAATAGTGGAAAAGTGAGACTGAGGTCAAAAGTGAGCTTGTCTAACTTTTATGGGTCCCAGAGCCTAATCTCTATTATACATGGAAGTCTTACCTTTGCGGCCTCTTTGGCCGCTTCTGGCATGTAAATCTGGGGGAAGGCATACATAGCCCCCTGTACTGGGTTACAAGACAGCCTCTCCATAGAGTTAAAGGTCTCAGCCACCAGTCCAGCCTTCTGTTTTAACTGACCCAACACAAGGTTCTTCTCCTGTTAAAATTGCATAGGTGAACTTAATTGGATAATGGCTTGCTGAGTCACAATATAACCAGTATGATAAAAATCTGCCCTGCTTTGATAGAATGATAGATTTTGGGACTAACCTTCATGAAAAGGTCATAAGATGGCTCTCCTGGTTTTGGGGGGTTCACTACTACATCCATGGCAACCTGGAGGAATTAAAAATCACTTTATGTGATTTGGATCTTGTTTGATGGAAAAAATGAGTTCTAAAATTTGAACATTCCATGCCAACTTACTATTAAAACTTATTTTTCAGTGTAAAGTTAATAAAAACATTATGTCCACCCAGTTGCCTTAACGAATTGTAATCTAATGAAGAAGAAATATGTCTTTTTTTATAATATTTATTTTATAATTATTTACATGTCATATATCTGTGCATCTAAATTTCAGAACCCTGTTATACCTGGCCTGACACCGAGGAGCAGAGTTTAGCTGAGATGGACTTGACCTGCATGGCCTTGACTGGAGGCTCCAGATTAATGACCTCACAGTAACCTCCCCTGAATCCACATCTGAAATGAAATGCTGACCATTAAATGTATACATGATAGATGATTGTTTGTGTGTAAAATATAATAGTAATCAATGAAATTAGGTGTAAAAGAAAAATAATGGAATAAAGATGTAAATCTTACAGATTAATATCTGTAATCAGAAGAATATGAAAAGCATATACATGTAAATCTATTACACATACTTACTCTTGTAAATAAGGGTATTTAGAGATGTGGGAAAATGACATAATAATGCATCACAGATTGTGAATTTTTAAAATTTAATTTTGAACTATTTTGAAAAATGACATTTTTAATACATCAATGAATATACATTTACAGTGTATCTTTTTTTAATTTTTACTATTGACAACTTACTCTCCCATGAAACCTTTAGAGGTGGACATGAAGGAGGCCAGCTCCATGTCCTTGTATTCTGGCCCCATCTCCATCAGGACTTTCTTAAACGAGTGGAAAGTTGACTCTTCTGCATACACATTGTGCTGGTATACCTGGAAAAATGTCAAAGTGTCTTAAAAACTTGCTTTTTCTTTATTTTTACATACATTATTAAATGCTCCTGATAGAAATTTACTGGTACAGTGAAAGAAAATAGAACATTTTATATTTTCATCCCCTTAAAATTTTTTTTTCATTTTTTAACATTCTGATCAAATGAACTCCCATTTTTTGATTTTAAGTGCTTTTACAATGTATGATAAAAGTAGCTGTTGATATCTTTCAGTTAGTCTGGGAAATTATATACCTCATCGGCCATCAAAAAGAGATTCTCCTCCTTGGCAAACTTGATAATTTCTTCAATATTTGCTCTGGATAAAACTTGACCTGTAGTCAAATTTACACAAATATACCAATATTAAGCACAAATAAATAATGCATTAAACAACACAAGGGTTTTTTTTGTTCTTTTATAACTTCATAGTTCATCCTGATAGTACATATATATAAGCAATCAAACCTCATTATCTCAAATTTGATGGAGGTGTGTATCTGAGGATTCCAGATATCCAGGGTAAAATACTCAAGAAAAGCCTGGGACTTCAAAACCTCTTGATATTCAAGAAATAGGTGTTAGAGATAGTGAGGTTTTACTGTATTTATTATCAGCCTACCAGTAGGGTTGCCTGGGTTGATGATGACTAGTGCTCTTGGTATACAGTGTTTACGAGCCTCGTTAAGAGATCTTCTGAGTTCTGATGCATGTAATGACCAAGCATTATCTTCATCTAGGTAATAATTGATCTAAAACAGAAGGAAACAAAACAGTTAATATAAAGAGACATTCAATGTAGGTTTTAATTAGTTCAGTCAAGGAAATGTTGAAAATTAAGAATTCAAACTAATTTTCTATCTATTTTTATGACATCTTTTGAAAAATGTTGTACAATATAGCAGCTACTTAACTCTAGGGATTGTAATATGTTTAAGTTACCTACTTAGTAGACACTCATTATTCTGCTATTGTGGCAGTGTGCAATGAATACTTACTGGATAGGCATTATATTCAGCTATTGTGGCAGTATATAGTGGATACTGAGGGATAGGAATCATAACTCCTGCCCTCTCTGCTCCATCTTTCCCAGTCATCAATAGTTTCATTATTGTCTAGAATTAGAGGAATTGCAATATTACTTCAAAGTACCTGGTGATTTTTTTTTTACGAAAAAGACTATACAGCATTGACACCTATTGTCTTACTTGGAAGGTAAACAAATGATCAAAAAACAAAGAAATATCTTGGGGTTTTTTTGTTCTTCAAAACTTATCAACAATAAATGATATTTAATAAGCACTCGCCTTTTCATATTCCCTGTCACTATTTTTAACCTTGCATTTCTATACAAAACCTAATACTGCAAACCTTTATGCCATCACTTGCTCCTGTACATAAGAAAATGTCATCAGGATTAGAGGGGTGTCCATCTCTCTCTTTGATGTATTTAGCAATGTCTTCTCGAATCACCCTCACACCAGCACTGTCACTGTAGGCACCTAAACATTTACACTTTTACATTAAAACAATTTTTTCCCATTCTTCTAAGTTCTATTCATCAACATGATTTTTCCCCCACTTTTTCTTGTTGAATTAAAAATAATTTTGTGATCAATAAAGAGATTACCTATGCTGTTTCCCCCACAGTCATTTAAGATTCTTCTAGCCCTCTCCTTAGCATCATCTGGGTACTCTGGGTTCCTCATCAAATGGTCAGGGTCTGTACACAGGGCTACAACCTGCAAAGCATTACAATGATCATCTTGTAGAGGAAAAATTTTATTAGATTCTAAGAAATGTAGCCAAAAAATGAACTTTTTGTAGCAGATCATAATCTTCCTTTAAGTTGCAAAAAAAAAACACACAAACACACACAAAAAACAATCTATGTAATTAAACAATGAATTACCTGCCTAAGGAAAGTTAATGGCCTTTGACCAGTTGCATGACAATCCCCAATATTTGCCCTTATAACATCCTTGAAATCCTTTATGACACCCTGAAATGCAAGATTATGAAAAGATTTAGTAAATTTTTCATTTAAAAAAAAAGTACCAGCATATTTTCAACAACAAAATATTTAGTGATAATGTTATATATTTAAGTGTTGTGTTTTTTGATTGTACATACAATATTGATTTATTATAAAGATCTGAAAAATGATAAAGAGTGCATTATAAAAGGAAAATAACTTAGAGGTGTTCAGATAACAGGAAAGCAATGTATATTTAGACAGCTTAAACTGGGATGGAAATATCTAAGCATAGAAAAATACACGAGACCAGTCAGAGTTTACTTAATCTTTCTTTTTCAAAAAAAAAAGGGTTAGTTTTAGGTGATAATAGAATCTTTTTGAAGTTTCGTCTCTTCTTTTATGGTTATGCAACATTTCAATATTTACACTTTTTAACTCCGCCTCGATTTCTCCTGCCCGTATTACAATGGGTCCTCGGACAGCATACTCCATATTTTTGACATACGGATTCATGGTATCCAGAGTTAAAACCCTTTGGCGTGTACATGAAGTGTGAAAGCTGCAAACATGATGTCCAAGGACATTTGAGTTAACCGCTTTTTGAGGCTTCAGTTTCTGTAGTCTGAACACAGAGCGGCGCATCTTTTTGCAATAGCGCAAATTTTGTGAAGAAACACAAAAATTTTAAAATTCAAACGTAATGGATCAAGGTCTTCACAAACTAAATAGTCCAATACGCACTTCCAGATCCAGCAAGTTTTATCTGTGTCAAAACAACAGGAAGTGCATTTACGCCACATAATAATAAAATGATTTATTGCAATACTTAAATTTCCGGAAAAATGAAAAATAATGCTAGGCTTGATAATTATGAAAATATTAAAATAATCTGTCCTTGACTGTTATGAAACAAAATATATGGAAATAATAAAGAATCGTGCCCCCCCCCGCGCTTTTGGTATCTCAATGGGTGAGATACCATGATTATTTATGACATCAGGGACCTATACATGTATGTGTATTAGTATATAGGTCCTTGATGACATATATTGTCAAATCTGAATGTCCTATCATTTGTCATTCAAAACTAATCACCAAAGTTAAATCTTTGAAAATTAGGTCAGATATGAAGGTAGGGGGGCCAAAATTCATAGCCGGTTCGGAAACATCTTGTCATATGTAGTGCAATTTTCAAAAATGTGAAAACCTTATCTTTTCTCAACCAAAAGTTATATGGAAAAACAACAGGGGCGGATCCAGCAATTTTTGAAAGGGGGGTTCCAGGGTTGTTTCCCTCTAACCCCCCCCCCCCCTACACACTCTCAAGCAAAGATTCACACACACACGTATGGAAAAATATAAGATTGTGGAAAATAATATCTTTGTTCTAGGTCGATCCTTTTTTCTTTGAAAAGGTACCCTCAGTCCGAATAAAAAAAATTAACACTACTGAACTACTGAAGCCTTAAAATTGAATGGATTTGCAGCATTTCCGAAGAGTACAATGAATTTTCTTTAAAAATTTGAAAATGTTTTTGGGGGTGGGTATAAAAGAAAGAATTAAATGTTTAGTTCCTTCCAAAGATTTAATTAAAAAACGGTACAGCCAAATTAAGATCGCGGGAATCTAATATCAAATTTAACCTCGCATTTTACATATCATATAAGATATATAAAAATAAGTAGAATATTTTCTACCATTCACTCATAAAAAGTAATAGTGAAGGTGAATGGAAAAACTAAATGTGTGAGAATCTATCTATTAAATACATATTTAAGTTAGACGTACAAATATTTATTCTCGGAAAACGTTTTATCCCCCTTCTTTCTCTCTCTCTCTCTCTCTCTCTCTCTCTCTCTCTCTCTCTCTCTCTCTCTCTCTCTCTCTCTCTCTCTCTCTCCACGTCTTGGCAAAAAATAAAGGGGGGGTTCCAACCCCCGGAACCCCCCCTCTGGATCCGCCAATGAACAACATATTAGAAAGGCCCTTCACAGGTAATATACATGTACAATATAAAAACCCTACTATTAATTTTTCTTTCAAAAGTTATGATTTTGAAGTAATGTTAAAATGTTTGAAAGTGGGTCAAACGTCAAGGTCACGGGGTTAAAAATCATAACATATTTGGAAAGGTATTGCCACAGATAATGTTCATGTGAAATATGAAAGCCCCATCTCTTCTCATTCAAAGAGGTACCTGATTTTTTGACGATTTTTAAAATATATTAGATGTAGAGATTTGATTTGTTTACGTTGCCTCCAAATACTCAGTATTTTATTTTTGGATCAGTACCTTTTTTTTACAAAGAGTGTGGAAATATAAAATTAATATAAAATTTATATCATTAAAAGATTCAACACACTTGATGATTTTGTATTTATTTGAATAGAGTAGTTCTTCAAAAGCTAGGAAAACGATTGATTTTGCAAGCCATAGCATAAGTACCTCAGTACTGCTAAAAAATAACACATTATAACGTTTTCTGTCCCATTTATGCTTCAGTTTAGTGCAAAAAGTGTACAATCATGTATACACATTTTGTTCACAAAAATAAGAAAACACGATTAATATGTTTGCAAATAAATGGTTTATTAAACCTTTGAATACCAGTTTTTTGAAAAGAGAGGACAACGGAGCTTTTGGAGATCTCTAAATGGATGTTTCATTTATAATTTAAAAATTTTTGACGAGGAACCCCCATCCCTGATCACTGACGGGATGGGTGTTCCAACGTAATACCCATTCCTGATCCCTGACGGAATGGGTATTTGTAGGGCCAAAGTTCCGAAAGACGTGAACATTTTGGAATAGTTAAATTTTGTATCACAATGCTAGTCTCAGATCTGTCTCCAAGGCTCACATTGCGAATTGAAAATTTTATAACATCATGAAGCCAAAAACGAAAAATGTGAAATTAAAAGCCAATCAGAGCAAATAAAGAGCTCGGGTGTCCCCTCTTTGGTTCCAATGTTCAAAATTACAGATTAAAGCATTGTGTAAATTAAAAATTTAGTCAATGAACAAGAGTCCAATTTATTCGGGAGTGATATCGATGTTGACATTTTTCTCCAGCCTCTCCATCTCCTTGTGAGCCACTTCAATCTCTTTCTGGATACGGGCTTCCTCTCTGTTCTGCTGTGCCCGCTCCTGTTTCTCGATCTGGGCTTTTTCCTGAGATTCTGTCAAACATAAAGATAATCAAATACATATAAAATTTTTAAATTTCAAATTGGTACAGATACTGATACTTTTTCCTAGTCAAAAACATTTGCATTCCCAATAATTGGAGCAAACTGATACCTAGTATACATTGGGCAAAAAAGTTTTAGTCGATATAACCTCATTGAATGAATATACCTGTACACCTACCTCTCCATTTCTCAAAATCCTCTTTTTTGTTTTCAAGCAATCTGGGTGGAGGCATCTTTGGGGTTTCCTCTGAAACGAAGGTGAGATCAAAGGCCACACCGCCTTTCTTTTTTGTTACTTCCTCTGTAACCATTGTTCGTCGTACTTTTTCGTATGCCTCCATCTCTTCCGTCATTACGCCCACTTTGTTATTTTTGGCAAAGCAACTCTGAAACAGACCCATGATCTTTACAAAACCCAAAGGCAATGACTGCATCTAAAAACACACAAACTATTTGTGACGTTACAATGAGTTTGTTGATTATGACGTCACAATTACTTTGCTTCGAATATTGTGATTCGGGCATGCATGTGTCAGTGTAGTTTCAAGAGTGTTCAAATCAGAATTTTTGGGGGTAGGGTGGGGACATAATATGGGATCAATATTTACATAGGAATATACTTAGTATACTAAAATGTATTTAAATATTTTCTGGAGAACACCAATTCCATGATAAGTAATTTTTTTTTGTATAAAACTAATGAACTAATGGAAGCATCCTCTTGTGGTTTAGATTCAGGTTTGTTCAAATTATGAATTATGGGTTAGGATGGGGCCAGAATGAGGGATCAAAGATTTGCATAAGAATACACAAGAAAAGATCTTCTCCAGAACTGAAAAGTTTTCTTTAGTCAAATTGGCATGTAAGCATCTGCAATTAGTGAAGATTTAAATTTATTCAAATAATGCCCCCCCCCCGGGGGGGGGGTCACAATGGGAGATCAAGTAAGATGTTGGAAAACTTTTTAAAATTCTTCTTTTCAAGTATGGCAAAGTTATACATGTATGATTTATTGATTTAGTGACGTTCTCAAGTAATAGAAAATTCAAATCTCACCTCCCCCAACAAGTAAACTTTTCAATACTGAGCTGATTTGTGTTTTTAGCAAGCCCATGTGCTCATGCAGGTGAGCGATGTGAAATTATGAGTATAATTTGGCCCGTCGTAGTTGAATTATCCCTAGTTGGTAGAATTAAAGTCGAATATTCCTCCAAAATATTTTGTTTTCATCCTCAAAGAAAATGAAAGATTCTGTTTTCTTGGAATCGCCGTAAGGCGGGGGGGGGGGGGGGTTAGGGGGGATGAGGAATTGTTTTGCTTCTGTCATATTTTCACTTTGGGTGGCATATATACATGATGAAAAAACGTCAGGAATACCGAACAACAATATACATGTACAAATGTACATGTATTGGAGACGTGGTGTTAATCAGGGTTAATCTAAACTCTATTAAACATTCAAAATCAAAAGAATTGAAACCATATAATTTTACCTAAATCAATAGCATAAAAACATTCGACTTTTCAACACTTTATTTAGCCCCTTAAACCACTGAAGACTTTTTACATCTAACAGCTGCTTTTTCAATAAAATGGAACTCGTAAGTTACATACCTTGTCATTAGTTATTTGCAAAATTATTTGGTTAAACATTCTAATTGTACACACAGGTATTCTGAAGTTAACATTTAAAAGAAGTTTAAGTTTCTTATTGACAATATCTATATGGTTTTTATAGATAACATCTTCCAACAATCTGTCGGAATTCCAGTGGGTGCCAATTGCGTCCAGTTATTAGCACACGTATTTTTATATTCCTATGAAGCAGAATTTGTTAAAATACTTTCAAATATGATGAAAAAAAGTTTTCAATTATCAACTACTCCTATAAATGTAGCAATATACCCATAGCACCTGCAAATGGGATTAATGTCTAGCAATTAATTCGATACCCAAGAACATGATTAACGTACGGACAATGTCTAAAATGAGGTAAGTTATTGACAAACACAAGTTGATATTTGGTCAGCAAGAACAATCAGGTCGAATGCTGACAGACGGTTTTTATACTAGTTGTCAGCCCACATTGAATAATTGTCCACAGATAATCCGTTTTATCGATCATGACAAGGAACATACGGCGGGTGTGACCGGTCTGCACGGGATGCTCAATCCTCCATGAGACCTGATCAAACCTCTGGTGTTTTTAGAGTTCCGTGTTTGCTCTGACCATGACTTGTATTGTATAATTAAGGAATCACTGCATGGGATAATTTGCATAACGGGCGAAGCCCGTTATGCTAAAATTATCCCATGTTTCCCACTATTGTTGATGTCCCTGGCATACTCTCAAAACTAGACAGTGATTCCTTATATTTCCATTTCATTGTGAAATAAAATTGTTGATTTAGACTTTAAAAATGCAGACATAGATTTAAATTACACGAGGATTCCCATCCCAATTTTAGTAGGCCTCTCCGAACACAACAGCAGCCGCATGGAATTTTCATGCATATTTAGCCTCCTTAGCGTCAGACTCAGAGACAGATGCGCACGAGATTTTCATGCATACTAGGCCTCCATAGCTCCTGACCTATCGACCTGCCTAATTTACATTCCGGCAGAATTATCAGGAAATCAACTCCGCTTACTTTCAAAGGGTTATCATATAGAAAAAATTTAGAAATGGAAATATTATTAAATAACTTAATTATTTAGCCTGATTCTTTTTTGTTATCTTCATATTTGATATAATTTATTAATTGCAATTGGGTTGATCAAGTTATTACATTAGGGTTCAGCAAAACATACTAATTTGCCCTGGTGATTTACATGTCCAGCAAACAATAAAAAATGAAATATATATTTATTTATTATTCATAACATACACTGTATTTTTAAATAGCATATACATGTAAATGGGAGGTAATTATGCCATTAAAAAAATATACAACTTATATTACAACATAAAATACAGTTTTATGAAATACAAAGACTGTGGCAAGGAAAAAAAGAAAGCACCATAAAATAACTAGCTCAGGCAACTCAAATATACAAAAAATCAGTTGAACATACTTGTGTAGTTTGCGTAAATAAATAGTTTATGATTTATAAACTGAAGTAAAGGATTTGATTGCTTTATTTTTATTTGTAAATTGCACTAGTAATTCAAGGTTATTAGAGACACGCACCTGATCACACCTTTGAAATTTCCAGGGCTCCTTGTTTTGTGCCCTCCACTTATAATTTTTTTTTGAAGAATTTTCAAAGAGCGATCACTTTTCGTTATCTTCAAATCTTTTACATTATTAATTTATTATCTTAGATTATCAACTGAAAATATAGTCAAGCTTATTTTTGCGTGTACAAAAAAAGTCCTTGATATGTTCAAAAATTTGAAATTAATATTAAGGCATACAACAATCACATCTTGATAAGGTTGTGTATCTTAGTGATTCAAAGATAACTGGAGAAGATCTGTACAACGTCTAGCTTGTACCTGAAAATAAAAAAGAAAAAAAAACTTCACGAGAATGGGAAAAAAGATCACATCCCGGAAATAATCGAAATTAAAGTTTTCGATGATCAAAATGTTCCCATCATTATTATCTACATACACTTGTTTCATTTCTTTTGTAAGAATCTTTGTATTTGTTTGTTTGTTTTTTCATATAAACAATTTCTTTTCAAAGTTTCTGAATCTTGATGAAAAATATACCGACCGGTGGTTTCATTTAATCCATTTTTCCCGACTCTCGTAAAAAAAGTGTACAAACGTGTTCAGGAAATGTTTGGTGATCAATGTATTTAACATGCTATGAAGTTGTTTATAAATGTAGCTGAATTTGCATCCATTTTTCCTACCATAATTGAAATGATGGAGATTCCAGCTCATACATCTCCCCATCCAATTGAATAAGCCGCCTCAATAATGTCAGTTCCGGATCTTCGTTCTCAAAACTGTCCTTCATTTCAACCGTGAATCCTCGGACATTTAATGCCTCCAAATCACTGTTCGAGACTTCCTTTAAAACATTAATTAGATCTATTTTAATATTGGTCAATTTTTCAAAATAAAATGTCTTTAATGAAAAATTATTTCGACAACTACATAGCATTACTGGTATGGTTTAAATTGTACTATTTGTTCATCCTTTCTTCCTTACTGCTTTTCCAAGTCAAGTTTTAACACTCTGTTGTTGCCTCACCCTAGATCAGTGGTACAGGGTTTGGGATGATTTTGATACAAAAAATTCTAAGCTATATGTTTAATTCCTTATTTTATCACTTTGATTTATTAAAGTCCTCTTACTGTTTTAAAAATATTTATTTATAATTTGATCGTATTTTCTATTGAATAGAAGTCAAAACAGTTTAACAGACCAACAGAATGATGTTTGAAAAACATTCATCAATTCAACTTTGAAAGAAAGCAATCATACCAAGTCTTGTACAAAAGTTGGCTATAACTAAAACATTATTTCATTGTCCAATGATATCAAAATTTTTTAGCCACTGAAGATTTTTCTGAGAATATTTTTTTTTAAAAACCTCACCCTCAACACCCATCTTACCATCGGTGTCCTCCTAGCAACGTGTTTGAAAAACCGGAACATAACCCCAGCAGAAAATTCATCATAAAAATGAAATGTGGAAAGCGTGGTGGGTTTAGGTACAAACATTCTAGGGACGTCAAAAATCACCTGACCGTCAAAGATGACGTTACCATTCAAGGTCATCATGTTCCACAACTTCCGGTCGAAGATCACTGTAGGAATATTTTTACAGTTACTACATGTAGTACCTTAGTAAATTTTATTCATTCATGTATACTAGTTTTAATCTAAGAATGCCAAATTACATATATGAAAGTTTTACACGGAAACGTTTTACAAGAAACCTTTATATTTACCTGTATCAGAAGTATAAGAACTGTATCCTGAAAGCTTTTTGTCTTCAACCAAGATCTCCGTCTCATTGCTGTCACTATTGCGTCTTTCAGTAACTCTGTTACATGCCGAAAAACGCAGGATAATTTTTTCAGAAAGTCATCGCATAAATCAATTCAAATTTTATGGATATATTCGCATGCATATTTTCAATTACACTAAAAAATTCTTGGAATACATGTAACGATGTATCCACTTCCCCTTTAAACAAATAATGATTAATTCAATAAATCTTAATATAACAAACTTACGATGTAAAATAGGTGACCTTGGCTGTGAAAACGCGATTTGTTTGAGATTTGAAAAGGAACATCCACATGGGAACAACTATAAATTCAACAAAACAAAATGGCATGAGTACTTGCTCCAGAAAACTCTGTGATAACATGATGATGAATATATTTTTTGAATTTTCCTTCATCTTACTAAAATATCGCGATCGCCCGAGCCATCGAAACTTCCTGTCGGAGTAGTACAGTAGATCTGTCAATACTCCGTAAGTACACGCCGTTCCCCCGAATCCGAGGAGTTTACCATTGTTGTACAGAGCTAGCAGGTGCGACGACACAGTTCTTCCTAATAAAGAAAAGCTTATCATTTTCAAAGAATTCAAACATCTTTTCAAAAAGTAAACTAGGCTACCTAAAATAGAATTGAATCTCACCAGAGTTTCGATGAATGTTACACAACATACAATAATTTTACAACATTGAAGAATTTTGCTCATTTTAAAAATAAAAGTATGTACTATGTCCAATGTACTTTACCTTTAACAACATGAAGAGCAGCGGTAAGGACGTCTTTGCAGCCAGTGTTATTTTCCGTCACCCCACAACCAGTTCCTGAGGGTAAATAATGGTCCAATCATTATTTTTCAAACCTTATTACTTATGGCGTCATTCTACTCTGAAAATGCAGAACATATATATATGATAGATAACAAATTTACCAGTTGGTATCATGGCTATGGGAATGGTCAAAGGGGACAGCTGAGCATTTTGATCGTTGATATCCACGCCTTGTTCCTCTTGTCTCCTTCTCATCAACACGTTGACCACTTCATGATATGACCCGTCTCCTCCGAGGAGAACTATTCTGGTAAAAATTCGTAGAAAATGAACTTGTCCTATAGAAATTTCAATTTACGAGCAACATTCAAGTTAACAAATATAAAGCATTACCCATCAATTTTAGAAATGTCGTAGGTTTTTGCCACATCTATCATATGTCCTGCACGTTCAGAAACTGAAATGGATTAGAAGATACATGTACATGCAATTAAACAATTGAAAAATGCTTCATTTGTTAGAATTTTGTCCAAAAATGGACTATATTTACATAGTATATCCATTGATATTCCCGAAAGTTTAAAAACTGGTTCCACAATTTTCCTGAAATCCTTTCTGGCTGTGCCATTGCCGCCAATAGGGTTTATCATAATCAAAACTTTCTTGGGACGTTTTGTTCCTGCAAAATTTGAAATAAAATAATTGTACTTTATTCTATACATGTAGTTTAGGTAAGCAATAATTAAGAATCAAGAAATGCTAAGACAACATATGATAATATACCATTTGCTATTCTTTTTGTCAAATCTTGTTGAAAATCTTTTCTTTGATCCCCAGTTATTATTTTGCATTTTTTCAGCAGCGTATTTGAAGCACCGTTTTCGATCAGCCATACTCGAGTAAACTCGGTTTTGGTAAACCATCCCTTTACTGCTTCATCACAACCGATGACGTCATTTAACTGGTAACTGACTGGAAGTAACAAACAGCACACATCAACCACTTACTCTTTATACTTCGGAGATTATATCTTCTTTTAAGGATAGTTGTTCTTTGTTTAAATTTCATTTATTTATCATTAATTGATGCACTAACTTATCAGAATTCTTTCATTCTGATAATGAATGAAAATTGAATCCAGTTGGGGCACAAACCAAAATTTCTTTCACAAAAATATCTCATAGCTGATGCATGAACGGAAAGGTTAAAAGTAAAAATATAAACTTTATTTAAGATATTCAATGTATAACGTCCATATTTTGTACCTAATAAATGAATGGTGTGTTATTTTTAATCATGGTAGCATAATGAAGATGTTATCAAATAAAAATGCTCCACCAAAGGAATTTACAAAATTTTGATTATTGTCCAATTAATTGCACCTTGAATTTTACATTGAAGTCTTTCGGCAGCACATGTTTTTATAAGATATTGTTAAAAGTAATTTGAATTTCAAACAAATCTCTTCGTGGAATTACGCATAAGCTCCCTCTTTATTAAATTATGAAATAAAAAGAATTATTTACCGCAGAAATTGTGAGAAATGAAAATTTTACTACTTTCACCAAGGGCAGATAACTCTAAGACTTCAAAAACTGTTAATGTGCAAAATGACTGTCTCCTTACATGTTATCAGTTTTGTAAGTTTGGTTCATTTCACTATTATCGTTATCTAGACATGCGTTTTTAACTATAATTTGAAATTATTGAAAGTTATGCAAAATCCTTTCATTATACATCTAATACCTTAACAAATCTTTCTTTAATTTTCTGGTACATGGTGATTAAAGTTGAACTTTCTTATTCTTATAAAACTTTTTTTCAATAATATCGATAACAATCATGATCAAGATTGTAAATGCAACTATAGAAGTCTTCATCGAAAAAAAAAATGAAGCCGTCGTTGTATTTTTACCATTTTATGTTATTTAAAGCCTAATTAGACAAGGCTTAGTGAATCTGTATAATATAATACTGCAAGTCAGTAATATATACCAGTTCTGTTTTATGTATTTTAACCGGAGAGTATTATTTCAGAGATTTTTACTCTAACATTTTTAGCTCACCTGAGCCGAAGGCTCAAGTGAGCTTTTCTGATCAAAATTTGTCCGTTGTCTGTCGTCGTTGTAGTCGTTGTTGTCGGCGTCGTCGTCGTCGTAAACTTTTCACATTTTCATCTTCTCCGCAAGAACCACTGGGCCAATTTCAACCAATCTTGCCACAAACTATCCTTAGGTGAAGGGCATTCAAGTTTGTTCAAATGAAGGGCCATGCCCTCTTCCAAGGGGAGATAATTATGAATTAATGAAAAATTAATGGCATCTTTTAAAAATATTCTTCTCAAGAACCACTGGGCCAGGAAAGATGAAACTCATGTGGAAGCATCCTCAAGTAGTGTAGATTCAAATTTGTTCAAATCATGACCCCCGGGGGTAGGGTGGGGCCACAATGGCCAATCAAAGTTTTACATAGGAATATATAGGAAAAATCTTTAAAAATTTTCTTCTCAAGAACCACTGGGCCAGGAAAGATGAAACTCATGTGAAATCATCCTCAAGGTAGTATAGATTCAAGCTTGATCAAGTCATGACCCCCAGGGGTAGGATGGGGCCAAAATTGCAGATCAAAGTTTTACATAGGACTAGATAGGGAAATCTTTAAAAATCGTCTTCTCAAGTACTTCAAAGCCATCATTAGTGATATTTATATGGAATCATTCTCAGGTAATTTAGATTATAGTTTGTTCAAATTATAACCCACAGGGATAGAGTGGGGTCACAATGGGAGATCCAAGTTTTACACTAAAATACATATTTAAACTCTTTTTCTCAAGAATAGCAAAGCCATGATTAGTGATACTAGTATTTATATTGAAGCATTTTTGGGTAGTGTAGAATTAAGTTTGTTCAAATCCTGATTTAAATTCATTCATTTCATGGCCCTTTGGGGTAGGGAGGGAAACAATGGGGAATTATATTCAAATTTTTATGAAGTTATATATAGGAAGGAAATGTTTAAAAAAATCTTTTTATCAAGAACGTCAAGGTTATATGCTGTATTAATATGAAGGCATTCTCAGGTAGTATTAAATTCAACCCCCCCCCCCCCCCCCCCTTGCAGTAAACTTTTCAGTTCTGATCTTATTTGTGCTTTTTCCTAGCTGATTTGCTCAGGTGAGCAATGTGGCCCCTGGGCCTCTTGTTAACTTTCATACGAGAAATTCAATTTTATAAAAAGAAGACTATATCTGACATGAAATCAGAAAAAAATTAAGAAAATCACATCATACCATAGGTACTCCTCAGAATTCTTACAAAATTTCAAAATGTATTTCTTGACTGTGGTTTTATGACACAGTTTGGTCTCCATACCCGTGTTTACATAACACAGTTACCGAGTTAAGAAAACATTCTTACCTTATCCAACTCATAACTATATGCAACACCATTAAAAGAGTAAAATATCTTATAATTCATTTTTTATGCCAAAACGACCTCTCAAAAAAGGGTTAAAATATGTATACACAACAAATAAACTCACTCTCTGTTTTGCCACTTGATTCAAACGTTAACTTATCGTCGTATACAGTCACTTTCGTCTGCAAACCATCCACAATCAAGTCGTATCCCATCATTCACAAGGATTTTTTTGCAAAACGTATGAAATCAGGAAAAAAGCAACAACTTGACCAAGCCCAATGCATGTCCTAAATTGACATCATTCTTCAAAGTACAGCTGTCTGTTTGTGACATCTCAAATACATATGCCTCACTGTGTCTTTATTATTGATTTTCTCATTTTTTTATACATAAAAATGCAATTATGAAATAAATATCATTATCTTTTTTTTTTACAGAAGTATCAGGTGCTCATACTTTTTCTCATTGCAACTCTTGATATGCATTTTATTTCAAAGAAATGCTTCAAATGGATGACCAGTTTTGAAGTGGTTATATATTGATTTCTGTTATCTGCAAAAAATGAAACATAGATCATATATGCTTAAGACATTGCATGTATTTCCTTGTCTATTAATGGACGGGTTTTCACGCACTTGACAATTACCAGGTAGGGAGTACATGTATATATTTGATGAAAATTTCTGAATGATTGCATGTTATACCCTAAGGTTTCCCATGGGCTCTGATATAAAATTGTTATAATAAAGAAGTCTTTGAATACATGGGTTTTTAGTCATTTTATTCTGACTGCAAAGGATAACTGATGATAAGATTGCAGATGAACATGTACAGATGCAACATTTTTTTTTATTTTAATAAAAGTCAAAATCCTTCAACACAGCTTTATTCTCAAATAAAATGTACATTTAATATACATACAATCTTAAAATTATACTGAAAATCACATCGTTTGCAAACAATGATATACAAATAAAGATTAAAATTACAAGTTAGATTTCTTTTGCGAAATGATTGATCACCCATCTTTTGAAAATAGGTCCTACCTAAATCATATTTGCAAACATGCAGTTCTAAGCTTAGGATGCATATTACAAATCATGCTTTTATTGTTGCATTAACTTTTTCGAGTGTCTGTCGTGCAAGTATAAAATCTTCCCAAAGATGATTATTCTACAGATAACTCGAAAAGATCTGTACAACGTCCAATTTGTACCTGAAAAAAAATATAAACAGGAAAAATAAAATCATAAACACATTGTAATTCAGGGTAATAGTAAACTGAATTTCTGAAAAAAAAAAAGAAAAAAAAAAAAAACAATTTCTGAGATTTAATAATAAGGTTTTCCATTTTATCTTTTTAGAATTTAAAACTTTTATTTTGGCATACTCGTATACATCATTCATTCATCAACGTTTTTTAAATTAAACGTAATGCTAAAATTTTACATTAGAAGGACATTTCTTGCCATCATAAATTCCATGGAAGATAAACTAAAGATTTTTAACACTCGATTAATTAAAAATAACTTTTTGGTGTATAGTTTTTTTTATGTGTTCAAACGCTTATTCCTTAATTTATTTTAAAAGAAATCAATCTATCGTCTATCGATACCACAACTGGAATGAAGGGGATTCAAGTTGATATATCTCCCCGTCTAGATGTATAAGTCGCTTTAACGTCGCCATTTCCGGGTCCTTGCTATCCAGACTGTCCCTTAGTTCCACCGTGAACCCTCGGGCATTCACAACCTCCAACTCCTTGTCTGAAAATTCCTTTTAAAGAAACGATATTTGAATAATGCCTTTGATATTTTTCTCTTCATGTTGGGGTTCATTCGAAGAAAATCATTATGTATATTGAAGTGAGTGTTATCTTGTTTATCTCAATATCTGGACTATTTATGACATAATTTGAACTTATGTTTTAAGCTTGAACATCAGTATTTTCCGTCTTACCATAGGAGTTCTGTCACCAATATGTTTGAAGAATTTGTTCATGACCCCAGCAGAAGGATCGCCATAAAATAGAAAGGAAGAGCACGTGGTGGGTTTGGGTACAAATGCTCTGGGAACATCGAACACGACTTGATTACCAGAGATGAAGTTACCATTTACGGTCATTATGTTCCAAAGTGTGCGATTGAAGGTCACTGCAATAGAAGATCAGTGTTAAAAGTAGTTTCTTTCTAAGACAAGGTGATGTTTAAAAACACTGTCCTTCAGAAACTGAGATGTTTTTTTTTTATTATGCACTATTCGCCTATAACAAATAAATACTTACAAAATTACAGAAGAACTAAATTCTTCTTTTTCATCTTACGTGAAAAGTTAATGGAAATGATTTTAAAATCGTCAAAACAAGGGAACTCAAAATCCTTACGCTATAATTACGAACTCTTAAGGAATACGTTTTACCTGTATCAGAGGTATAAGAACTATATCCTGATAGTCTCTTGTCTCCAACAAAGACCTCCCGCCCACCGTTGTTACTGTTTTTTCGCTCATTGACTCTGATTTGTAAAATACATAACTTAAACTTTGATAAACAAACAAAAAAAAACAAATACATATCAGAAATAAACATGTTTCAAAAAATAGAGCTTCACTCTAATGCATCAGGTTTTATCATACACTACAACCTATTAGGAAGTTGATGTATGAACAATGTTTTTTTTAAATACAATGTAGGTCAGTGATTAATAAATTTAATAAAATACGAATTCGAATGGGGAATCTCCTATCAAACGATAGATCATCTTTGATAATAACTTAATAAGGTCATAAAACGACCATAGAAATTAGAAAATGTAGACTTTCAAAGATTCTAACCACCATAAGCTACTTACGATGTGTAATAGGTGACACTGGCTTCAAACTTTCGATTCGTCTGAGATTTGAATAAAAACATCCATATTGGAACAACTAAAAATACAACTTCCAACCATTGAAAGATCACTTGAGATGATAATTAAAATAAGAATACAACTATATTCCAAAAAATGAAATATATAAAATGAGATAGTGTTGTTTTAACATACAGAAGTATCGGGATCGCCCAAGCCAGCGGAACTTTCTGTCGGAGTAGTACAAGAGATCTGTCAAGACTCCATAACCACAGTCTGTCCCGCCGAATCCTAGGAGTTTGTTATTACTGTAGAGTGCTAGCAGGTGAGAGGAAACTGTCCTACCTGTGCGTACATTATTAACATATTCTCAAAATTATATCAATATCTAACAGACCACAGAAAGCAAGCCCCTTTTCATTTGGTTTATATATATATTTCATAGTATAACATCAAGTTTGGGACTGTCCTTTCATGAATAAACTGCTGTTCATATGCTGAAACCTACCTTTGATAACGTGAAGAACAGCCGTAAGGACATCAGTGGTTCCAGTGTTACATTCTGTCACCCCACAAGCAGTACCTAAAATGACAAGAACAATTTAGAAGCTGGTTAACAGAGTAAGCGATATTGTGATCATTTAAGGAAAACAAATACCATGATACCTGTTGGTATCATGGCTATGGGAATGTTCAAAGGGGACAACGCTGCATTTTGATCGTTGACGTCCAAGCCTTGTTCCTCTTGTCTCCTTCTCATCAACACGTTGACCACTTCATGATACGACCCATCTCCTCCAAGTAGAACTATTCTAAGGTCAATATATAGAGCAATTTATTGATAATAAAGAATAGAAATATCAAACATCAACTAAACCAAACGGCATAATTATGTTAAATACATTTGTAAATTAAGTTTCTTTATGTATATTGAAAATACATATATATAATTGAATCATTACCCATCAGTATTACAAAAATCATAGGTTTTTGCAACATCCGTCATATGTCCAGGCCGCTCAGTAACTGAAATAATGAGAAAAATGCATCAAGTTTACTAAAACATAATGTCCAAAGTTTTTGCCATGATCAATTTCTACTTTAAAAAGGATTATATTCACAAATTATATCCATAGATATTCCCGAGAGTCTCAAAACCGGCTGTACGATATCCATGAAGTCCTTCTTTGCTGTACCATTTCCACCTTTAGGGTTAATCATCACCAATACTCTTTTGGGACGTTTTGTACCTACAAGGACATTAAAAGTTGATTCAGTGATTGATAATCACTATTCGGTATCGTCATCTTTTCATCTATTGTATGAGGTTTTCCGCCTAAATTTAAAAAAAATCACTTGTACCAGGACTTCACTATATATACCGGTGACAGACTTCAAATTTGTCCCTTTTATTTTGGCAATCAAAACCATTTAACAAGGAGGAATCTTTACTGTACTAACGCCTATCGAGGCACATGGTCTCATCTGAGAAACCTGCGACTTTCTACTCAAAAGTTTTACTAAGTAATTGTGTTATGTATTGTGTTTCAAATGGACTATCAATTAGAATGAAAAACGCCAGTCAGCATTAAATTTTAACACAAGGATACGTTGTATTTAATGATAAGGTCATTGTGTCGACCAAAAACCTGAAGAATGATGTCTTCAAATGCTCTTGTGTATCAAATCACATTATTACTGGGGTACCAAGTACTTGTATACTCAGCAAAATATCTAAATTTTGAATCTTAAAACAATTTTATCACCTTAATTTCAGAGCTTTTTTTGGAGTTTATGGGAAAAAAGTTTCTTACTGCATGTTATTTTTTCTGTCAGATCGTGTTGAAATTGTTTTCTTTGGTCTCCAGAAATAATTTTGCACTTTTTTAGCAGCAAGTTTGAAGGAGCATGTTCGATAAGCCACACTTGCGTTACTTCTGTCTTGTAAAACCACCCAATCAGTACCTCATCACATCCTATGACATCATCTAACTGGTAACTGACTGAAAAATAGAAAAACAAGCATCAATGTTTAATGAACAAACCACAATATACTGGGTGAGAGTATCCTTTGAATTTTTATGCCCTTAATCGAAGATTCGGGTGTATATAGTTTTCGTCCTATCTGTCTGTCCGCAAAAATTATAACCTTGCCATAACTTTCCAGTGGGCGGAGCTATGTCTTTAATATGTTACAGGTGTATTGCTTTTGACAAAACCTTTTTTGGGATACCACCAAATATGACCTAGTGACCTTGACATTGGAGTTTGACCTTTAACCAAAAATATCCAAAATATATTTAAGCTTGTACATAACTTTTAAACCGTTAGTACTATGGCGTTCATACTTTACATGTGTATTCCCTGTGACACGAACTTCCTTTGGTATCAACAATTTTAACCTTTTCTCTTTGACCTTTGATTTTGACTTGTATTTTAGAATCTTCAACCCTCGATTAGAGCTGCCAAACGGGGTCATCAGTGTTTCAAAAACACATATTGTTTATATCAGATAATACGTGGGTTATGACAAATTACAGATCTGTAATTTGTCGCACATGGTTAACCATATATGTTTTTACATTAGTATAACATGTTAGATGCAGAGAAGTATATGTTTTTATTTCAAATTTATGCTAGAAGTCATGTTTTACAAGGATATTATATACATCGATACAAAGATCTGTAAATAAAATTAGTTATTGGAGTAAGGATGGATACATTTGCGTTAGACTTACGGTCTGTTATGCCACTTGATTTAAACGTTATTCTATCTCCAGAAAGAGTCACGGTAGCCTCAGAACCATCCACAACCAAATTATACACCATCTTTAATTCAAAGAGTTTTGCTAGTGTATAAAGTCAGAAATAAGTCCACATGATGATCTCAATAGACATCATTCATTACAGTACTGCTGCGTGTATGGGACTTCTAAAATATTTACGTCATGATCATCTAATCTATATAAAATAGGTGAAGACAATAATAATTTTAAACAATTAATAAAACATAAAGTTCATGTAATTTCTGACAAAATACGATCTTAGATAGTTTGTTTTTACTAACAAGATCATAATAACGGTTGAAGAATTTACTCAATATGCTGAGATTGTTGAAATACTGGTAAGATTATTTTATTTGTCAGTAGCCAATTTATATATTGATCATAATCAGAGCACTCTCTTAGACCAAAAATAACGGGAGAAATGAACACCCATGCAATTGATAGTTGAATGTTTCCATTTCTATTTGTTTTCTGTGTGATATCTGCATGTCGCACGCGTGGCGCAGTGGTTTGAGCGTCTGTTCTAGGGTCGCGAAGTAAGGAGTTGATCCTTATATCTAGGGTTCGAATCCCACTGTGTGACGTGTGGAGACCGGTCCTTTGGATGAGACCGTATAAAGCGAGGTCCTGTGTGGCAGTATGTGCTGACACAAAAACATTTCAGATATTGTAAGAAATCCAACCAGCTATTCTCAAGAATATACTGTTTCAGTTTTTCTTTCGTCTATTTTTTGTAAATTTGATTAAAAATTATGTAGACTTTGTTAGTTTTCTTTTCAATATTTTATAAAATTAAACTCTGAAAAGAAATTTAAAGCACAAGACTTTTAAAAATATAGAATTAAGGGGTTTTAACAAAATGAATGATATAAATTATTTTAAATATTTCCAAATTAAAAAAAATGAAATTGTTTGGAACCTTATCCTACTGGATATTGTTCCTATTATTAGAAACTCTAAAATCTCTCCAACTTGGAAAGAAAACATGGCTAAATGGAAGTCAAGACTGTGTGTACATTTAAAACTGTTCATACATTTAGAAAGGAGCAGTAATAGATAATATACATGTATAATGAAACTCAAAGCAACCATTTTTAATTTATTATATTGAACATAGATTTTAATGTATACATAGTTTTAGGAAATGCCAGGTGTTCCTTGTAATAAATAAGAAAACATCAAAGATTCTTTGATTTTGAGGTACATTTATTCCAAAAACAAAAATGATGGGATTTCTTCTTTCTTTACTGTTCACCGATAACTTGAAAAGAACTGCAAAACGTTCAGTTTGTGCCTGAAACAAAAAAAAGCATTACAAATAAAAGCTAGAATGAAATTATGGCAAAATAATGGGTTTCAATTAATGAGCTTTAAAAGAGATTGTTATATCCGAACCATAACTGAAACGATGGAGAATCCAGCTGATACATTTCACCATCCAGTTGAACGAGTCGCTTTAGCAACGTCATTTCCCGTTCCTGCCTGTCACAACTGTCTGTCACTTCCGTCTTTAGCCCTTGGATATTTATTGCCTCCAGTTCATTATTTGTTACATCCTTTGAAACACAGTTTTAAAGGGTTTATATATTTATAATGCATTTTTGCTAATTTTTCTACATAATTAAAAAATTAAATGCTAAACATGTATTTCAAGTACATGTATTCACTTATTAAAGAGCTTTTTTGCCTTACTTGCTCGTCAAATTAGCAAGCAAACCATTTCAGTCTTACCATAGGTGCCCGGGTAACTATATTTTTAAGAAATCTGAACATGGCACGAGCCGATACATCGCCGTAGAAAAAGAAGGAGGTACACGTGTCGGGTTTTGGAACATACATTCCGGGGACATCGAACACGACTTTGCCATCTATCATGGCATTAATGTTAAAGACCATCAGGTTCCACAACTTCCGCTTGAAGGTCACTGTAAAGAGATATTCATTCAAAAATTATCGGTGGCTCGAATTTTTTACTGGTGTCATGAAAATTTCAGTTAAGCCTGCTTTAGTAAAGGTTTTACCTGTATCAGAAGTATAAGAGTGATGTCCCAATAGCTTTTTATCTTCGACAAAGATCTCTGTCTTGTTGTTTTCACTGTTAAGTCGCTCTGTGACTCTGATATGTGGGAAAAAAAACGGGATGAACGATTGGATACATTTTAGAGTGATCATAAAGAAAAAAAAAACAATAAATGACTCTATGGCATTGTAAATTTTATTGGATGCCTATACTGTCATTGGAACCCCCCCCCCCCTTCACACATTATAGAATTAAGTATACCTACGATGCGTAACACATGACCTTGGCATCGAATGGTCGATTCTTCTGAGATTTGAAAAGGAACAGCCAAATTGGCACAACTACAACAGGGAAATTTTCAATAACGCAAAAACCAAAAACGTTTACATTTTAGAGTATTCATAAAAAATCAAAATAATAATAATATTCAAGAGTGTTGGTTGTTTATATATGTACCAAAGTAGCGGATTCGTCCGAGCCAGCGGAACATTCTATCGGAGTAGTACAGGTTATCTGTCATGAATCCGTATGAACATCCTGTTCCGCCAAATCCCAGGAGTTTACCACTGCTGTATAGAGCCAGTAAATGACACGGAACAGTCCTTCCTAGAAGTATACATTATCAATTCATTTGGTTAATTATAATGTCTATATATTTACAAATAAAGCAACTTTATAGATGGCTATTTGTGGAGCATTTGGTTATCAAGAAAAGTATCACCTTGCAAGAAAGATTTTTTTCTCACGAAATCGAATAATCAGCTTTTTTAAAAATCTTACCTTTTATTACATGAAGACAAGAAGTCAAAATATCTTTACACCCTGTATTGTATTCTGTTAACCCACATCCAGTTCCTGAAATGAGACAAATATAAATTTATCCTTATAGAGTAAACATACTGTTGCCAGTAAAGTCAGCGATTAGCTAAAGACGGTTACCCGTTGGTATCAATGTTATAGGAATGTCCACGGGAGACAGCGTTGCATTTTGATCGTTGATATCCACGCCTTGTTCCTCTTGTCTCCTTCTCATCAACACGTTGACCACTTCATGATACGACCCGTCTCCTCCAAGGAGTGCTACCCTAGAGTCATTTTTTTAATATTTCCATTTCTAATTTTTATGTGCCCGGATCGATAGATCCAGGGCGTATATTGTTTTTGTCCTGTCTGTCTGTCTGTTTGTTTGTTTGTCTCGAACTTTAACCTTCACCATAACTTTTGAACCATGAAAGATAGAGACTTCATATTTGGTATGCATACTTCACTAATTAAGGTCTTTCAAAAGACACCAAGGTCAATGACCTTGTGACCTTAACTGTGGCGTATATGCTAAAAATAGCTTTTTTCTGCAAACTTTTACCTTCTTCATAGCTTTTGAACCATGAAAGATGGAGACTTCATATTTGGTATCCATACTCTACTAATTAAGCTCTTTCCAATGATATAATGATGAATGACCTTCTGACCTTGAATGTGACCTATATGCTAAAAATAGCTTTTTTGAACCCTTACTATAACGTTTGAACCATGAGAGATTGAGATTTCATATTTGGTACTTGTGACCTTGACTATGACCTTAACGTTAAAAATAGCTTTTTCCGAACTTTGTTGTTCTCTCTATGATAACGCTTTGAAAGTTAGAGGAGTTAATTTCTTGATAATTCTACCGGAATGTAAATTAGGCAGGTCAATAGGTCAGGAGCTAAGGAGGTCTAATATTCATGCAAATCTCGTGCGTATCTGTCTCTGAGTCTGACGCTAAGGAGGCCAAATATGCATGAAAATCTCGTGTGGCTGCCGTTGTGTTTGACGTCAGTGGGCGAGGACTATTGAAATTGGGATGGGAATCATTGTGCAATTTAAATCTATATCAGCATTTTTAAAGTCTAAATCTACAAATTTATTTCACAATGAAATGGAAATATAAGGAATCACTGTCTAGTTAGTATAGTATGCAAGGGACATCAACAATAGTGGGAAACATGGGATAATTTATGCATAACGGGCTTCGCAAATTATGCAAATTATCCCATGTTTCCCACTATTGTTGATGCCTTGGCATACTGCTGTAGATGTACTTTTTTCCACGGGGTCATAATTCCGCGGAATCTCAATTTCTGTTTAATCCGCGGGTAGAAAATTACGCGGATTTTCTAGATTGTCACTATTTAGCCTTACATTTATATTAATATAGTATACTAACTAGACAGTGATTCCTTAAATATACAATATTTTTTTTAGCTAGAGACTACTGGATTTATTAAATAAAACAGATAACTCTTATAAAAATCTGTAGTTTTTTCTCTTTCAGATGGCCCAAACTGAAATATTTTAAACCTTTTCTACCATGAAAGATGATTTCCTTTATGTATATTACCCACTGGTATTGGAAAAGTCATAAGTTTTCGCAATATCAATCATATGTCCCGCATGTTCAGTAACTGAAAAGGAAAGAAATTCAGTTGTAATCAGTACTTAACGGATTGCTCAAGATCTGAGACGTTTCATTAGTTTATGACATCATTATCAGTTTCCATATTATAACTTCACAATCAATACTATAATATAAATCTATAAAACTATAGTACATGATATGATTTCTGAACATGCATGTATATGTAGTGCTTGCATCTTCAACGTTATGACGAAAATACACAAATCTCACTTCGCACTTAATTTCAAAATAAGGAATCTTTCTTTTAGAAACATCACTGTTGGGTCAACCCTCGAAGAAGTGATCGACTTGACGTCTTGACTTACAAATTACATCCAAGGATATTCCTGCAAGTTTAAATACTGGCTGCACTATGTCTCTGAAATACTTCTTTGCTGAGCCACTGCCACCGATTGGGTTAATCAACACCAACAAACGTTTCGGGCGTTTTGTGTCTGTAAAATACAAAAAAAATATTGTATGGAAGAAGTGGCTTGTGATATAAAGGTCAAGGTCATTTTATTTAGAATCCAAAACATAAAAGCGAAATGTGCATTCATTACAATAAAAGAGAAGGGGGTGTCTGTAAACATGAGGTCTTCTACAGTTAACAAAAAAGAACGG